CCACTTTACTTTAACCAACAAACTGCACCACCCCAAAAGGTATCTCACTTTCCACTAGATGTATTATTTTTTTCTAAACGATCGATCTATGCTCAGCGGTGACGAATTCCCTTAGATTTGAGCTGATTTCTTAATTTATTTTATTTTCTTTCTATGCTTCGCGATCAGCAATCAACAAGGCAATGCTAATTTCTTGTGACGATTATTTTGCCAAGTCGCCTTCGTGTTAATATCAGATGTAAATAAGCTTATGAAAATGGCAAAGATTTTTCTCTCTGCCTCCTGTGTGTGTGTGGTATGTGTGATGCGTATAACCTTGTTATTGAACTCACTGCTCGGATTTGCACGGCTTGGACAGGGGGGGATTTTTCGCAGCTTTCAACTAAGTGATACCCATTAAACACACGCCACAAAAACAGGTGACAATCACATTTTTTCCATACAAAAAATTACAAATACCATTTGTTGCTAATTCAATTTATTGTGTTGTATATTTTGTGTGTTTATTTGCACTGGCCATTTGTGGTGGGCCGGGATGTTTACAAGTCATTATTGTTGCCGTTATATGGGCTTTATTATAATGTTAGGTGCTAACAGGTAAATCTTGTTTCTTATTTATTGACTTTGAATCCTGGATGCGGCAAAGGATTCTTGTATAGCTTTCGCATGTAACTCTTCCTGGATTCCTTCTCGAAAAGCTTGTTGGCACTCCGGTAATTGGGATTCCGTATAAAAGTTTTTTGGCGACGATTTTTTACGCTGCGTTCTTTGTTGATGTCTTTAGCGGGCTTTTCAGTTGTTAAAAGTAATGGAAACCACGTAAAAATGTTTTCCAAATCACCAATGGTAGGCAAATGTGTAGTTGAACTGGTTGTAATGGGTCTTGTAGTTGTTGTTGTTGTAGTAGTTGTTGTTGTTGTTGTTGTTGTTGTTGTAGTAGTACTTGTTGTTTTTGGTTTTCTTGTTGTTGTACTTGTTGTTGTAGTTCCATCCGGTTCATAATATTCACCATAATCTGGCGCAGCTGTCATTGACAATGTATAATCATTATATGGTCTATATTCATTTTTATTAAGTGGAAAAATTTCTAAGGGTGATGGTCCGTCAAGGTAATTGAAGTAGCTATATTCTCTATCTGATCTAGAAAAGGATCTTTTAGTTGCTCTTTTAGTTTTATATGTTCTTGAATTTCGACGAAATGGTGAGGCTCCGATTTGATTATGAGTCACACAAAGCGCTACTAAAATAATGGTAACCAAAGAGATCCGACACATTTTTATGGCTAAACTAGAATGAGTCTATAAGAAATATATAAAATATATTTATAATACCACTGAACACCGTTTATAATGACAATTTGGATGCTTAATAATGCTTTAGGTTCGTTTCAGTTAGTTCCGTTTCATTTTAAACACAGATTAATGACGCGTTATAGGATAGTTTAGTTTTTTTTTTTTTTTTAAATTCAATTCAATTATGTTTTCAGTGATAAGGATAAGGAAGTTCGAGAAGCTATTTATTTCATATTTCACAAAACTCTTCCTAATTTTATTTTATTATTCAGATTTAGATTTATTGGTCAATGTTTTCTTAACGCTACAAGTTTAAAACTGATAAATTAGTGCGCTAGTCACTATACCTCAGGCATTTTTTTTAAATTAAGCATTTAGAATTGATTTTCACCGTGAACAATTTGAATTCAGGCGCCAATGCTGGGCAGCACTGAACGAAAAAATGGGCAGCACGGGTCGCTCAAGCAACCAGCGTTGCCAGACTTTACATTCAGGGATTTAATAGGCCAAACTTGCATCTGGCCACACTGCTGTTTTTGCACCGAAAATTAATTAAAATTTAACAATAATTTAAGAATAAAAGTATAAACAGAGGAGTAAATTATAATTATAGCCATGCCGCCGACTATCAACAACTCGGCGATCAACAGCGCCGCCGACAAGCGGCCGCAGCGGCAAACGGAGCGCAAGTAAGTGTCCAGATAACCAAACCAAATCCGACGCCGGGACATTATAATCATACATACACATATCCCCTGTAGATCGGAGATAATTTGTCGCGTCAAGTACGGAAACAACCTGCCTGACATACCCTTCGACCTGAAGTTTCTGCAGTATCCCTTCGACAGCCATCGCTTCGTCCAGTACAATCCCACGTCGCTGGAACGCAACTTCAAGTACGATGTGCTGACGGAGCACGACTTGGGCGTGACGGTGGACCTGATCAACCGGGAGCTGTACCAGGCCGACTCCATGACCCTACTGGATCCAGCCGACGAGAAGCTGCTCGAGGAGGAGACCTTGACGCCCACGGACTCTGTGCGCTCCCGCCAGCACTCCAGAACAGTCTCCTGGTTGCGAAAGTCCGAGTACATATCCACCGAGCAGACGCGCTTCCAGCCGCAGAACCTGGAGAACATCGAGGCCAAGGTGGGCTACAACGTTAAGAAGTCGCTGCGAGAGGAGACACTCTATCTGGACCGCGACGCTCAAATCAAGGCCATAGAAAAGACATTCAGCGACACCAAGAGCGAGATTACCAAGCATTACTCCAAACCCAATGTGGTGCCTGTTGAGGTGCTGCCCATCTTCCCCGACTTTACCAACTGGAAGTACCCCTGCGCCCAGGTCATCTTCGACAGCGATCCCGCCCCCATCGGGAAGAATGTGCCCGCTCAGCTGGAGGAAATGTCGCAGGCCATGATTCGTGGTGTGATGGACGAAAGCGGGGAGCAGTTTGTTGCCTACTTCCTGCCCACAGAGCAGACGCTCGAGAAGCGGCGCGCCGACTTTATTAACAATGAGCTCTACAAGGAGGAGGAGGAGTACGAGTACAAGATCGCTCGCGAGTACAACTGGAACGTAAAGACCAAGGCCTCCAAGGGCTACGAGGAAAACTACTTCTTTGTCATGCGGCCGGATGGCATTTACTACAACGAGCTGGAGACGAGAGTGCGTCTCAACAAGCGCCGCGTCAAGGTTGGCCAGCAGCCCAACAATACTAAGCTGGTAAGTCCAAGCTCTTTAATGCTTCACTATGCCAATTTATAACTCCCAATTCCCACATCCTTTTAATGCTTTCTAGGTGGTCAAGCACCGTCCGCTGGACAGCATGGAGCATCGCATGCAGCGTTATCGCGAGCGCCAGCTGGAGGTACCTGGCGAGGAAGAGGAGGAGGAAGTCGATGAGGAAATGGAAGTGGATGAGGAACAGAAACAGGCCGTTGACGAGACGGAACAGACGGGCGAGGTTCCCTCGGGTAGTGCAAAGACGAAAGTAGATGGTGGTGATTCACCGGCCCAAGTGGCGAGGGACCGACAGTCACGCTCCCGGACCCGCAGTCGCAGTGGCTCCAGTTCTGGCTCGGGCTCTGGCTCTGGCTCCCGAGCCAGCAGTCGCTCCAAGTCCGGCTCTCGCTCCGCCAGCGGCTCTCCTCGATCGCGCACAAACTCGCCTGCAGCATCCCAGAAGTCTGGAGACGGCTCAAATAAGTCGGGATCACGATCGAGATCGGGTACACGTTCACGGTCGCGTTCCAAGTCCGGCTCTCGTTCCCGTTCCCGCTCAAAGTCCGGTTCCAGGTCCCGTTCGCGCTCCCCATCCGGATCCCGGTCTGGCTCTGGCTCCCGTTCGCCCAGCAGATCGCGTAGTGGCTCGCCTAGTGGCTCTGGTTCCAGTTCTGGAAGCGGATCAGATGAGGAATAAAGAACTTCACCATAAGAAAATGCTTATTAATAAAACACTACGATATCTATCAAAATAAATTAGCAGTTGTCTAATATTCATTTCATTTTGTCCGGTTTTCAAATTCTTTTAAAATAATTTTCGAAATTTGTTCATTAAGTTAAATTAATTTTTCCCAAGTTAAAAATAAAAAAGATATAAAATGTATATACATATGTACAAAGAAATTAATAAATTATCGTTCATTTTATTATTTTTTTATTATTATTAATAAATGTAAACTCTTCTGTTATTTTTAACAAAACTAATTATTATCTAAACAGAAATCGCTGATTTTTCCTACCAAGCAAAACTGGTGAGAATTCAAGTTCCGTATAAAACATGGGAACATAGGAAATCCCCTGATATTTAGATACATATTGCAAAAAATAGTTTTCAGTTTATTTTCTTCTTTATTTTGTAAGAAATTAAGTTATACAGCAAATTTACATATTAAAGTGTATACTATACGGTTACTAGGAATTCGGAGAATTAGCACCGAAAAACAAATTATAGTTGCTAGGATCTAAGCTTTTGGCTATGAAGATTAGGCTTAGATCTTGTAGGGTGTTTATACTGGACAAGAGATGAACTAATCGCTATCACCTTAAGATATATTTGTACTAAAAACCAGAAGGAAAGCTAACTACGGCAAGCCCAAGTTTTTTTTAGTAGGAGAGGAATTTTAAAATTACCAAAACTAAGCCAAATATGCATTAATTTCAATTCGGAAAGCAGCTCTGTGTTATTTTTTATTGGCTTAAAAAAACTGCATACTTAATTTAACATTTTTAAATATTGAATTTTTTCCAATTTTTGATCATTTTAACGATGTAACCCCTTATAAAATTTTGAAAAAACTGAAAAAAAAATGTTTTTCTCCGAACCTGTCTAGAAAGACTCGCCTGTTGATGCTGATCAAAAATATATATGATTTATAGGGTCGGAAATGACTCCTTCACTAAATAAAATAAATAATTCATATCTTTCTATAATTTTTGGTGAAAATAATAGTTTATAAATATGATAATTAAGCTATAAAAGCATAACATTAAATTAGGAAATGGTTTCTATGCTAGTTTTAAAACGGTTAAAAAATCAGCATACAACATTTTAAATTTTCATAAATCCAAAAATGTTGTCAATTTATTAAAGTTTTCAAAATATGAACATGGCTAGAACGATTCCCCCGTTTATGCTGATCAATGATGTATATACTTTATAGAACCAGATATAATAGGGTATCAAAATACGAAAGAATCAGGATTTTTTTGTTAAGCGCAGTGCTGCCTTATCAAGCACAACTATGTGCATTTCAAAATGAATTTAACAAATAAACGAAAAATATTTATTAATGCCGCCTTAGTGGGGTTTATGGTAGCCTTGGCAGAGGAGGAGGAGGATAATGAAGGACCCCAGCAGAGAGGTATTCGTCGTCGAAAGTGTTGGGTCAAACAGTATTTGCAGCAAAGAAATGGAAGAGGAAAACATGCAAATGTGAGTAATACAAAGAACTAACAATTTGCCTTAAATCAGTTAATGATATTCCGTTTTAGTTTGAGAACTTGACGAAAAATCCAACCCATTTCTTCGCAAATTTCCATATGAGCTTTGATACTTTCCAAAGTTTGTTCTCCCTGCTGGAGCCTCATCTTCTGCCAAAGAGAATTTCCCGCGGAAATGATTTTATACGCGTTGAGCTAAAGTTTGCCGCTGTCCTCGAGTAAGTGGAGCTAAAAAGGATTCATTAAACGAGTTTAAACGCTTCCCTGCACAGGTACTTCGCCTTGGGGGGCCTGCAACGGGACGTCAGCTTCTCCTACAGGATCAGCAAACAGCACTTCGGGTTGCTAGTCGCTGCTGTGTGTGAGGCCATCGTCCAAGAGCTGGGCTGGGAGATTCCGCAATGGGAGAAGTACGCCGTCCTGGGAAGTGCTCTCGACTCTGAGAAGACCTGGAACTTGCCCAACTGCGTTGGAGCAATCGGCGGCAAGCTGCTAGGAGTTGGGCCTCCAATGAAGAACAGAGAAGTAAACAATTTGTACCCTAAACTTCATTGCATATATTAAAGTGTTGCTCATTCCAGGAGATGAGTTGCATACCGATTTTTGCCGTATGTGACCCCTCCCTCAGATTCACTTACCTGGACGTGGGCGACATCCTCAGGGCGAACGATCCAGATCTTTTCGTCAAATCAAACCTCGGAAAAGCAATTCTAACAGAGAGTTTATACTTTCCGGAGGACAGCTGTGTAAACGGGTCACCGATGACATACTATGTGGTATCCGGCGACGACACATTCCCGTTAATTAAGCGGATTATGAAGCCATTCGAATCGAAGAGCATTTCCAGAGAAGAGCAACACTTTAACGAACGCATCCACCACGCGAGCAGTTGCATTGACAAGGCCTTTGGCCTTCTAAGTGCCAACTGGACGGTGATGCGACGGCAAGCCATGTGCCGCCCCGAAAGGGCCAAGCAAATAGCAAGGGCCTGCTGCCTGCTCCACAATTACTTGCTGCGTACAAAGCCAAAGGACTACACAGATTGGTTGCCGGAGAACAACGAGGCCATGATTCCAATAAACTCGGTCATTACTCCAGGTGGCAATGAGGATTACCCCAAATTGGTTAGAGATAGCATTAAAAATAGTTTAATTGTCAGGAAGGAAATGGGTCAAGCGAGCCTACAAGCTCACAAACACGCTTAAAAACTAAATCTTATACAAAACTAAAACAATCTCTTCTTTTCCACTTCTTTTTTGGCAACCTCCTGCAGAAACTCCGTTACTTTGAATACAGCGCGCTGTGAGTTCTGCTGCGACATCCCGGTAAGAAGAGTATCCCAGTAGGCGAGAACGGTGGCATTCTTTGAGACAGGCTGCTCCAGGCAGTGCCTAGTTCCCTCGAGAAAATTGCTCAGCATGTCGACAATTGAGGCTTTAGACGTCGATTCTGTGCCTTTCCTTGGTCTGCCCCTGCGCTTTGGTTCCGGCTTTATAGACTCAATGCTCCCCGGTGTTAGCAGGGCATCGGCCGGGATCTCTACAGATCCTGTCATCCAGTCAGCCATCTCAATATCTTCACCATCTTCACCATCTTTACTGTCTTCACCATCTCCACCGTCTTCACCATCTTCGCCGTCTTCCCCATCGGTTTCATTGCGAACAATTCGGCTGACGGGTCTCCTATTTGTTTTTTAGAGGGATAAAGGTAATTTAACTTTTGCACTGTAAAAAAAAAACTTATACTAAGCTCTTACGGTCTCTTGAGTGTGGGTTGAGGCATAAAGGACATGGCTTCAGCGAACCTCCAATCCATCATTTTGGTAGCCAGCAGAGGATCGTAATCCTCTCCTTCGAGCTGCTGAAACTTGCCACAGTCCCGCTTGAAATGATAACGGTAGCTCTCCCTCAAGGAGCTCCATGCCATCCTACACTCGGTGCCTGAAAAAATTCATTTTAATTATTAAAATCGCATAATGTGGATGGCTCTTAATTACCAGGTCTCTTCACCTCCTCAGACACAGCATTCCAAGCAGCTTGCACCTTGTCATAGTCCTTATTGTATATTTCCGTAATATCCCACAGTACTGAGCGCTTCTTAACAGATTGAATTAGGCGGAATTTTTCATCGTTTGTAAAATTCGGTTTTCTTTTACGATTGACACTCATTTTATGGCGTATATTGGTTTTATTGCGGTACACAAGACAACAAAATGGTAGACCAAACAGATGTTGCCGAAATGTTATCCAGTACTGAGTACCGATAACGATAAAAAATATAATTTAGTACAGTTGTAAATACCAGAAAATACCAGGAGGCTCTGGAAATACGCCGCTTGTTAAAAAAAAACACTTAAGATATACACGTTAGGCATCAAATTTCGCTTTCAAATCCCATAAATTTACAGAAAATCAAAGAGAATGAAAAAAAACAAAAATATCAATATCACACTACGCTTATAGTATGTTCACACTTAATACTAAACCCTGCAGTACTGAGTAGTCTTAATATTTAATTCAATTAGTATATTTTCGTTGCCGAAAGGAATTTTCCACTGGCCAACATATGGTCCCTCAATTGCTTTTTTAAATTGTAACGGCATTTTCATAAAAAACAACACAAAATAAACAAATACACTCTAAGAAAGAAGCAGAATGAGTTTATCCATATATGATATATTTATGTAAATATTCTTGATCAGGATTTAATAAAAGAAATATTTATCAGCACCAGGCGAGTGTTATTTTAATCTCTCACTACATTGCAGGATTCTCTTTCATATCTTTCAAATTTATAATCGATTTCTAAGAGCATCAAAGAGTTTTAGTTTTAAACTTTAATGTATAACGTCATAACATTACATAGGAGCCGAGTCGGGTCTGTTCCGATTTTCAATGGGACTCGTAATTCTAGCACTAAAAAAATAATAATAAGAAATAAATAATAATAATAATAGATAAATAATAATTACAAATCTTTCTTATTAGATAAATAGGAAAATTAATAAATTAATTCAATTAAATCAATAAATAATAAATAATATATTAGCGCACTACCCACTCCCGCTACGTGGCGTCCATCAGGAAGCGCTGAAAGACCTCGCCATCTGAGCTGGGCAGCTCCGTCTGCTGTTGTGGCGAGTAGAGCCTCAAGTTCTGGAGCTGCTGCAATGGGGAACTGTTGCCATTGAACTGCACGACGGCAGCTGGCTCCAGGGGTAGGAGAATAGCTTGATTCTCCGCCGGTTCAACGCCACAAATGCCCAACTTCTGACACTGCTCCACCACAATGTCGTCGATGCTCTGGGAGAGCAGTGCTTCTTGCTCTGGATCCGCCATCGAGCCATTGGTGATGGCCGCAATCTCAGCGCTAGCCGGCGAGGGCTGTGTGGGTGAGTTGCTACCCTCCAGGAAGGCCTTGATTAGCTGCTCCGGGGTTTGGGTGTCATCGGCGGCGCATCGGTGGGTGCGTTGGCTCACCTTGTAGCGAAACGTCTTCTGGCAGAGATCGCACTTATAGGGCATCACACCCGTGTGGATGCGGGTGTGGACTAGGAAGGACACACGCTGTCGAAAGCACTTTCCTGAAACAATATTTAGAAGAGCTTTCACCTTGTAACCCTGTGATTGAATATACTCACCGCACACCTCGCACTTGAAGGGCTTCTCGCCGCTGTGGATCCGCTGATGGTTGTGCAGGGTGGAGAGCTCCTTGAAGGCCCGTCCACAAACCCCACAGACGTGAGGCTTCACCTCACTGTGGTAGAGCAAATGCTTGTGATACGACTGCTGGAAAGTGAATGTCCTGGCGCATATTTCGCAGGTGTATGGCATCTCGCCGGTGTGGAGCCGCTTATGCTTCTTCAGGAAGTATTTGGTGGTGAAGGACTTGGTGCAGACGTCGCACTCCCACAACTTTGGCGTGGCATTGCCTGCATCCGGTGATTCGGGTGATTGCTTGAGCATGCTCATGGCTCCGCTTAAGGCATAGGGCTGGGAAGTAGTCGATGATGTAGTACTGTTACCGCCAGTGGCCGCCGCCTCCTTGTGCCGGATGCGATCGCAAATGCTGAGCTTGGGCAAGGGATTGATGGTTATGGTGGTGGTGATGGGGCTGGAACTGGGGCAGGGCACGCCCATCATGTGCACCACCTTCAGGTGGATTCGCAGCGAGCCCTTCATGCGAAATGTCTTGGAGCAAAGGTGACACTTGTAGGGCTCCTGATGTTCCGGCTCCTGCAACTGGAAAAGATCACACAAACTCTTGAATTTGTTTGTTGAGTAGGTATTTCAATAAATGAATACAGAATGTGGGTAGGAATGGGTAAAGAAGGCACATAAATCTACTTTAATTTACCGGCTCCTCCTGCTTTCGCTGGATCTGATTTTGCTCCAGTTCCGCATTCTCGTGCACCAACCTGATGTGCATGTCCCGTAGCTCCGTGTTCCGAAAACTAAACTCGCAGATGTCACAACTGGCGGGAGGCGTTGGGGGTACAGGTGGAGGAGGCACGACAACGGGCTTGGTCCTTGTTCTTCGGGTCCTTCTCTTGGGAGCGGATACAGCGACCAGGGGAGGAACGGGTAGACCCAGAACAGGGTGGGCAGCAGGTGGATCCTGGCTCATTAGACTGGTGTGCGAGAACAGGTGGATGGTGAGCTTGTCCAGTCCCAGGAACAGCTCCTTGCAGTTGGCAAAGGGACAGGCCAGTGGTCCATTGGCCGCCTTGATCAGCCGCTGCTGCAGTGCGTCAATGCTGCCGAAACTGGGCACCGCGCACAGGGGACACAGAACCGACGTGGAGCACATTCCGCCAGCGAAGTGTCTCGAGTCTTATGCAAATTGTTCACCTTCTAAGATGATGATTCCTCCTGTTCAGTCGCCGAAAATCTATTCAGGAGTCCATTCCCAGACAGCGCACACAGCTCGGTCTTTCCGCTTTCAGAACTTTCTAAAAATATCAGCAAGTGAAAATTTTGAAAAATTTTCAGGCCCAGCGCGGCGATCAGAGATCTGCGATCTTGCTCGGCACCGATGCCAGCGAAACGAAATAATGAAAAATAATGAAATGCCCGGCGCTGATCGCCGCCGGAATCGAAGAAAAAGAATTTTCGAAAACACTCGTAGTAGCGCCGAAAACTCACTCTCTCTCTCCTCTCTCTGGGTACCTAATTTCGAAATATAGCTTTGGACATGTGTATATATAAATATATTTGGCCGATATATCGTTCTTCAGCGGCCGTATGGGCTTTTTTCTTGTGTTTGCAACCCGTATAGAGGATCGGCCATATGCAAATGATATACAAACCCGATGCGTCAGTTTTTGTACTTAAAAGACATCAGTGGATGATCTATCATTATGGATGATCGCCAGGTTGATTCTATCATTATATTCATTCAGATTTGTGGCTAATCTGGGTTGATCTATGCGTACTTACAGTCTTATAATGCACAATCTTAGACTGAAATCTAAAATCCTAAAAAAGGTTAATCAATTTCAAGTTAACATTATTTGAGTTTGAATCTTAAGGTCAGTTTTAACCTGATAAGAGCAAAATTAGATTTTAAATTGTAATTGATAATAATACATTAAAATTAAGGGTAATATATTTTTTAAGGGGGGGGTAAGGTATTTAATTTTTTTTTTCGTAAATTTTTTTTTATTTTTTATTTTTAAAGTTCAACATCTTAAGAATATTGTGTCCAAATTTTACATCGATCAGAGTAAAATTGACGAAGTTATGCGGAGTTGAACGAAGGTCGGTTGGTGTTCAATGCATGGGAATCACAAAGTTTAAAGCGCTCTCCTGAAAAATTCAATTTTTCAAATCGGTGTACACGATTACAGAAAAACTACTGGACCGATCGATTTGAAATTTGGCACACACATTCTTTAACTAATTCCTCAGGTATTCACGTCGGCCTTTTTTTAAATTTTAATTTTTATATATTTTTAAATTAAGAAATAAGGTTTTTTTTTTAGTCAAAAATCGGTTTTTTGACTTTCAAATTTCCTAAAAAATCACAAAAAAACTAAAAAAAAAAAAACGTTTCCTGATTACCTCGGGACACTTATCCTTTAACGAATGAGGTATAATTTTTTTAGATCGGATGATCCTGTGGACTGTTAGGATGTACACCGCAAAACAACTTTTTTTGGAGGCGACTCGGGAGATTCCCTATAACTTCTCTACTTCGAAATATTTTTCAATACAACATTTTTCAAAAATTATTCAAATGTTGTGTTATTATATGGTATTTAATTCATTAAGCTAACTTTAGCCGTTCCGCCACAATAATTTTTTGAAAAGTGGCTATTTTTGCACCGAATTAACCTTACCCCCCCCCCTTAAGTTCGTCATGTCAAATCAATAAGCTAACACTAAATAGGGTGATAAAAATGATTTATTCGAGTTTGTGTGGCTAAAATGTTGATTTTCATTTTTACGAATATTTTAAAAGGTAACAGAATATTTTAAATTATTGAATAAATGTTGAAAAACACCTAGACCCTCTCTTGGCAGAGCATCCAAAATGTCGCCATGACCTGGTCAGGCAAGCACACTGGGACATTCGGATGTGCAGCCTCATTGGATTTGTTTTGGGCTATTTTTATGGTCGCTCTCCCCTCTTTTTGGCCCGCTTTGGCAACGCATTTTACTCGGGTTTTGTTTAGACACTAAATGTGTAAACAGTGAGCGATGGCCAAGCACGTGAAGCTACCTGCGGGCTACAAGCAACACCAGAGTCTTTCATTGATAACCGAAAATATTTATAATAAATGGAAACTAATTGGGGAACTGAGAGTGATATCATTTCTTCTTCGGCAGCTTGGGCAGCTCGAGGGAGATGACACTTAGGCCCGAGCGCGAGGTGGTTGAGGAGCTATCGTCCTTGAGGGAGCTCATATCGGATGCCGAAGACCTGGCACTCATTCCCCCGTGGAGGAAACTCTTGCCCTTCACACTGATGTAGGATCCCACAGTGTCTGAGGACTTGACCGAGGAGCTGCCCCAAGAAATGGTGCTGCGAGTGCGTTTCAGGTGCATCGGCAACTTGATGCCCTTGCTCAGCATGTAATGCAGGATCTCCGGGCCCGACTCGTCGCTGTTGGCCAGATCGGCCAACATGTTGAGGGCCTTAGAGTTGCGAGCCTCCATCTCCTGCGCTTGGAGATCCCGCTCAAACTGCTCCATGAACTCTTCGCTGATTGGCTTTGCCTTGATCTCCCGCAACTGCATCCGGATCTCTCGCTGGGCCCGCTCCATCTTAACGCGCTGCTCATCCAACTCCAGCTCAAGCTTCTTCAGCACAGCAGAGTGCTCGTCGCGCTGTGCTTTTGCCTGCTCCAGCTTGTTGATCAGGTCCTTCTCCTCGGCCCGCTGAGCCTCGTGCTTCTGATCATAATGCTGTGCCTTGCATCGCAGCACCTTCAGTTTTTCCAGGTCGCGACAGTAGGCCGCCTCCATCTCCTGTAGCTCCAGCTCGGCTCTGTCACGATCTGCACAAGAAGGAGGATAAACACTACATAAGATCTCCTCTGGATCCAAGGATTTCCACTTACCCATCGAATTGTCGTCGACCGATTTGAAGGATTTGCGGTAATTGCTGTTGGACACGTCGAACTGGCGCAGCGTGTTCTCCAGGGCGACCACCTCCTTCTCGGCCGTGAGCACCTTCTTGTTAAGGGCATCACCCTCGTCAGCGAGCATCTGGCGCTCCTGGGCACTAGCCACCTTCAGCTGCGTGCTGGTCATAATGCTGCCATCCTCGTTCTTGCCCAGCAGCTTGGAAGTCAGTTCGAATCTGGCCTTCACCACTTCAATCTGCTTCTTTCGCTCGCCAATGTCGGCGCGCAAGGTGCTAAGCTCCTCGGTCAGGTGCTTCTTCTTTAGGAGCAGCACTTCCTGCTGGCTGCGCAGCTCCACAGTGCGATCCTTGATGGCACGCCGAAAGGCGAGACGATGTTGCCCCAAGTCGTAGGTGCCCTGCTCGCAGCCATCGATGCCGACCTCGAGATCGTTGCAGCGCATCTTTACCATGTTGAGATCCACAATAAGCTCAGAGTTCTCGTAGCGATTCTGGCGTAATCTCTTCACGGTGCCCTCGCAGTAGACCTTGGCCTCCTTGATCTTGAATCTAACCATATCGAGTTCCTTTTCGTCGGCGTTATACTGGACAACTAGGTTGTTCATATTGCAGTTGAGCTTCTTGTTTTGGGCTTCCGTATTGCTGATCAGGCGTTGCAGCTTCTCGTACTCCTGCTCCAAGGCAGCCAGTCGCTCGAGGTTTTTCGCCTCCTCCTCGGGATCGTCGTACTGACCCTTGAGATCGGCATAACGCCGCTCAGCCTCCAGGTACTTGAAAGAGAGATTATAGTGGATCTCCGTTTGGCGTTTCAGTTCGTTGAACACCAGCTGCTGGTTGCGCTTCATGGCCACCACATTGGAGGCCAGCGAGTCATTCTGTACGGTTAGGATCTTTTCCTCGTCCTGCAGATCGGTCACCTGCTTTTGGGTACGGTACAGCATGTCGTTGACCTTCTCCTGCTCCTTTTCCAGATTGCGCAGCGCCGTCTGCTCCGCTTCCATCATCTCCTCCAGAATGCGCAAGCGCTGATCCGCATTCAGAGCTTTGTTCTGCATGGAGGCTAGTCTGCCCTCAACCTTCTCCATAACGGAGGCGAAGTTCTCGATCTCTTTTTCCTTGTCATCCCGATTCTTCATCTGAGTGCGGTTTTCCATGCGCTGCAAGTGCACTCGATTGGAGAGATTCTCGAGCTCCTTGCGCAGGCCATCGATCTCGCGATCCTTCAGAATCGACTCATCTACTAGAATCTGTATCTGGTTCTTCAGCGTCGAGGTCTCCTCGTTCAATGCCTCAATTGCGATCTCCACCTGGCGATTATTTTCGATCGCCTCGTTCAGCTGGTTATCGTGATCCTTGTATATTTTGGTCGTCTCCTGTGCCTTTATGGCCAACTCGGCGCATTCCTTCTCGCTGCGCTGGATGTCGTTCTCCCGTTGGGTCATCTGATTCACTGCAGTCTTCCAAGTCTCTACCATCTGCCGCCGTTCCACGTGAGCCGCCCTATACAGGTCCGCGGTCCGCTCCAGATTCTTCTCCAGCGTCATTTGCTCGTCGTAGAGAAGGACCACCTGCTTGCGCCGCTTGTCGATCTCCGCCTGCAGCAATTGGCGCTTGGTGTTTAGCTCGCGCGCCTTCTGCTGGTCATCCAAATAATACTTCTCGATCAACTGGTAGCCCTTGTTCCCGTCATCCATAGCCTCCGTCCACTCCACCAAAGTGGTCTTCGCGGTCTTGATGCGGGACGTCAGTTCGTCGATCTCTCGCTTGTTCTGGCAGATCTTCCCTAGTTATTGATATATTACAAAATTGGTAATAAAATAATTTAATCCATGGTACTTACTTTCTGTGGCATCGGAATATTCCGTGTACTCTTCCAACTCCTTTTGGTTTTTACGCAAATCCTCCTTAATCTTATTGCGCTCCAGGATCACCAGCTGCACCTTATGAGCCTCCTTGATCTCATCATCCTTCATCGAGCTATAAAGGATCTGAAATGGGAAAAGGGGTCAGTGGACCGACATCTCCAAGGCAATGTCTTACCATATTCTGTTGGATGGTGGCCTCAATGTTGCGGGTATGCCGCTGCACTGCCTGCTCTCGTTCGTCTAGAGACTTAATGCGCTGCTGCACTTCCGTCTTCAGTGCCCTCAAGGAGGCAATCTCCTTGAGAATTGCCAGGTTCTCGGCATTCGCCATGGGTATGTCGGCATCCACCGCCCAACCCATGGAGGCCATCGCACTCATCTTGAAGTCGTCTAGCGAGGACCGCTTCATGTCGTCGGTTCGATTCATCTTGCTATGAGATTAGCCCCTCAGCTGGGCCAGATTGTATGGGATCACTCAGAGTTTTACGAGTTTCGATTTCAAACTGTGATCTGGAAGTGGATATAAACAAATGTCACCTCTGTTTGTCGTTTCAATGGCAACAAGCCTGCCCTGAGCAACGGTTTCCATGGCTGGAAATATTTAATTATTTTGTTTTTATTTATATAAAGCTAACAATTAGTTTTAAACTAAGAGCTGCCGTAGGCTTTGGAGCTATAGCAGCTTTGGCTTTTGGCTCAGTATTTCATAAAAAAGGATATATCAGGAAGTGTGCTTCCTTTAAAAAAAAAATTTAGTTTAGAAGGATTTTGTGCAAAAGGATAATAGAAAAATTTTAAATTTATTTGTGGTCAACGTATTGTACCTCAGTTCTTTCTCTTCTCGTTAAGAGGTGTTATTGTTTCATATGTGCCTTTAGGGACAATCGGGCTAATTGCTATTGTTCCTGCTCCTCAAGGACTTCCATCGTATGATTTCGTACCTGAATTACTCGCTTAACACATTCAGAACATCCCCAAGATGCATCCCTAAATACCACACTGAATTCATTGACCCCATAAGGCAAGGTCCAATTGGGAAGCTTTGTAGGGTATTAATATAGACCAGAAGATTCTATCGATGCGGATGGTAGTATCTCCCACAATCGAAGCTATGTATGTCATCACCCGTCGACTCTATCTAGATATCTACATTTTTAAATTTAAGCATTTACAAACTTCAGCTTGCCTAAGCTAGGTGTCCTTTTTGTTGTTAATTTATGTAATAATTTGAAAGAATGGGAGCCTGGGAAAAAACAAAGGGCAGAGGCACCTCCTGGATCGCCTGTATCCGTTGATTAAGCCAATGACAACTGTGTTCCTTTCCCACTCCATAAAATCACTTAATGTGTCAGTATAATCATTTTGTTTTATTTGCTTGCTTCTTGGTTGGTTTGCTTACTTCTTTTTCGTTATCATAGAGCAATTGGGTTTTTTGATGTAACTACATACATTGGTATTATGTAATATTAATGTTATTTAATTAATTTAATGCTAGCACTTTTATGTTATATAACTTGATCAGCATCTTGAGAGATGCCATTGTTTTCTGTAAAGTATAATTATATTATTTATATATATCATTTAATAGTTATTATATTCATATATATATACCACATGAATCAGTAATCAGTATTCAGTACTGCAATCTGTATCTAGTTGTAGTATGTAAGATCGGGTTTTCGCTTTCCGGCTTTAATGGTAGTTTGTTTTTTTTTTCTTTTCTTTATTAATTAGCTTTATGTTCCGCTTCCGTTAGACAAACACAAAAATGTATGTATGTATATGCTTCAAGTACAATACAAGTTATGTAATGCTTACAGATTTAATATAGTATATTTATATATGTATGTTATGAATGCGTAGTTGATGTAAGAGGACACTTTGCTAAACCCTAGACTTCAGTTAATGCGCCTGCTCTTTCCCTCCATTTCTTTGTTTTTCAAATTGCAGTTTCATCGCATTTCGATGATGGCCTTTGTTTCCTCTTAGTTCTTAAATCGTTTCTTTTTGTTTTTGTTTTAACACAGCTTGTAGAATTTCGCATTCAATTTGCTTGTAGGCATGATAAATAGATTAAATGTATTATTTTAATTTTTAAAGTGTTACTTTAAAGGGTGGGCGTTGCGTTTTCAATTTAGATCATTTTTAGGGTTGCTACATGTAAACAAAGATGAATTCATCCTGCTCCCGCTTCTTCTACACCTCCTCTTCCTTTGTGTTTCTAATAAGCGTTTATGCACAACGGATGCTTACAAATTAATTAAACTCATATTTAAAAGCCGGAGCAAATAATGTTCAACATAACAAAAAACAACTTAATAAAATAATTCCTTCGAAGTCCGATATGAGAATAGAAAAATTTAACTAGGACGAACCAACTCTGGACAAATAATCGACTCGGTCCCTCATAATCGATATTCTACTATTCAATTTATTTAAGATTACATTTTAGGGGATTCGGGTTCAGGTTCGGCGATCGTTTCCATCTTGACTTTATCCCCTATAATGGTGATTTTATTCTCTTGTAGTTCTCGTTTCTTCTTTTCTTTTTTTGCAAAACTCGGTAATACAAAATATATTATAATTATATAATTATATATTGAAATTTAGCTTTGCGCACGACGCTGGCCAAGAGCGAAAATTTGAATGGTGGGGCTGAGGTAGGGTTGGGGGAAGGGGGTTGTGTTAAGGGTAAAAAGCGCGCGCGGCGAAACTAACAAAAACAAATAATATCCTTCTTCCAGTTAAACGAAAATGTGGCTGCTGCTTCTGTGGTTTGTAGCGCTTGGAATATATATATATATATAGGGCCTTCTATATTCTTTCATATAGTATTTCCCTTGATTTTTGTTTGTGGCTGCATCTCGGACTTAGGACAGGTGGAAGGACATGCTGCCCTCGTTTGCGGCCACTTTCAGTTTCTGCCGCATCACCTCGCGACTGGAGTAGTCGGGCAACTTGAGATAGTTGACACAGGTCATCACAGATGGTAGGTAATCATTGGGATTCTGGTTGCCGTCCAGAGTCTTTCGCACAATGGTCAGAGGCGGCGTTAGAGCCTTAAAGCCGCCGGTTGGCAGGCGTGGCGATCCCGTCACAAACTGCAGGAAGGCGCGTTGCTCGTCCCGATTATAGGAGGCAAGGATCTCGTACAGATACTGAATCGCTTGCGACTCCTGATGGAAGCCGTGATCTGTGCGGCAGCTGTCCTGCAGCATCTTGGCATCCCACCGCTGGTGCTGCTGCTCGCTGGCCGAGCCGCAGAATACGCACTCCAACTCCTCCGGATAGAACATGCGCAGTCGCTGAATGGGAAACACGGAATCGAAGCCTGGAAATATGGATTAGTATAAGACACATGTTTACTTTTAAGTAAATAAGAGTAGTTCTTACCCTCGCGCAGTGCCTCAAACTGCTTCTGAACGCCCTCGATGAGGAACCAGTAGGTAACCAGCGATATGTACTGATGCAGATTGTGCACGGTCACTGGAGTGTCCCTTCCGCCACGGCACAACTCGATATTGGCATGGCCGGGCAGCACAAAGTCCAGTCCCAGATCGGCAATGGGGCAGCTGTCCAAATCAAGTTGCTCAATCTGGGAAAATATGATTTATGTCGTCGGAGATATGCCGAAAGATTTGAAATTTTGGCACTCACCTTTTCAGTCTTTTCCATGGCATCAATGTTGGGATCGGATAGTATATACTCTCGCTGGCGCACCACATCCTGCAGGCGAACCAAAGTGTTTTGCACCTCCGGTGCCACGCGCATCAGATCGGCCAGGCCAATGGAATGCTCCTCGCTGACTAGCCAACGGTAGAATGGCAATGAGAAGGGCAAGTCCAGCTAAGGAAGTAATTCAAAATGAACCAATTAGGATCACAAAGAGTACACAATTAGAGTCTTGGCTTACCATTCGACTGTCCATCACCGCCTTGGCCATGAACTTGCCCAAGAACTTGAACTTGGCCTTGGCCTTGGTCATCTGCGGTAGCTTCGAGGATTTGCCCAGGGGCAGAGGGAATAGGCCATGCACTGCATGTACATAGCTCGTCATGGTCGTGTTTAGGGTTGTGCTAGAGTGATTCGTGGTTGTGGTGCTTTGCTCCACCACTATGCTGGTGGTAGTGGTGGTGGTGGTGGTGCTGCTGGGATTGTCTGTCTCCGCCGCCGAGTTTATATCACTAAATTGCTGCTGTGCGATGATCATATTTAACGCATTCTCACCGCCGCTAGAGGAGCTGTGCTCCACCACAGGCTGTGGCTGCTGCCCAGCTGAAGCACCCCTAAGGACATGGGAGCGACTGCTGGAGCGGGTGGGTGGTGGCGCAGCTGTCGTTGTGTTGGCGGTGGTGGTGGTGCTGCTTACAAGTGCTGCCGGGGGACTCTGTTCCATTGTGGTTGCCTCGAGAGCATCTTCAATGTGCAGCACAGCACTGCTGGCCTTCACCACATCCACAATGGTCACCGAGTTCTGTTTGTAGCTATCGCTGCCATTCCACAGACCCAAATCGGTGCGCTGCAGCTCGGCTGAGACGAGGGCATAGAACTCCAGCGTTGGTCCCAGACCCGTTCCCACCTCGTTCTCATACTGGATCTCCAGAAGCGCCTTCGAATGGCCAAAGTCCTGCAGGATGTGCTCCGCCTGCTTGAGGATCTCCGCCCGGGAAATGGCCCGCTTGCGACGATCCAGACGCGGAGCAACCCTCTCGGAGGACTCGGCAGCATTCAGATCCGGCGTGGTGTCCAACAGTCGCTGCAGGGCGCGATCGCGATCAAAGCTGGTGGCATAGAAGAGCAGGTGTCGCGTCTCAAAGGGGAAGAGGAACGGACAGGCCATGCCGATCTGGGGCAGCCACTGTGGCAAGTTGCCCGTCATAATGACCAGCGGATCCTGCAGCTGGCGGTTAGCCTTTGCCGTGATCTTCGGGTGCACAAACTCGGCCTGCGGAACGATGTTCTGCCGCACCACACAGCCATACAAATGCTCCCAGTGGCGATTAAGAGCGTGGATCACGCGCAGCATACACAGGGCATCCAGCGAAGCGTCCTGCACTGTCACCACATCGCCAGGCAGCGAGCTGCTAAGGAATGGCTTCAGGGCAGAGATCACACCCGGGGCGATCCCCTCGTGCCACAGTTCCGTCTTTTTGCGCATAAATTTGCTGCTGGATTTGTGAGCCTTCTTTGAGGAGGATCCTCCTCCGCTGGCCACTCCCGACGACGAGGAGCACGAGGTGGAGGCATTCGCGTAGCTGGAAGCTGAACTAGAGGTGGTGCTCTGCTGCTGTTTCTGGACACCACTGCTGCTGCACGAACTGCTGCTGGAGGCCGCAGCCCCTGGAGTAGCCTCCTCCTCGACCGGACGATAATAGATCGTGTGCTGCTGCACCCATATGCTGGCGTTGCCCAACAGAGTCTCTGACTCATTGTCCGTTTCCGGCTGCTCACTGACCAGCGGAGAAAACTGCTTGACCGCCTGATACACGGTCATGTTGTAGGGCAGCACATGCTCCCCAATGGTGAACTGCAGCTTGTGCTTGAAGCCCGCCTGAGTCATTACCACAGCGGCCACATTGTCATCCATATCCTCCTCGCTGTCGTCGTCCGAGTCGGCACGGATGCCACCATACCCGCGCACCACCAGATACCGCTCGATGGCCTGGACCATGGCCAAGGGATCGATCTTGACGGTGCCACCCTTCCACTGACGCAGGTTACTGCACTGCGGATGGCGCTGCAGGTTGCACTGTTAAAGGAAAAAACTGGTATTAAGGGGGAATTTATATTTTTAGCTCAGCTAAAAGCTCACCTTCAACTGATGAGTGTTGAAGAACCGCAACGCACTCTGGTTGGAGCGCCCGCCTGGACCGGCCGGGAAGTCATGCACCTTCACGGGGAACTGCTCCAGCTGCGTAACGCAGCCGTTCAGCTTAGCCACAAAGGCACTGAATGCCACGGGCTCAATGGTGGGCAGCTGGCCAACATTTTGCAGCAGAGGCTCCAGTGGCAGGCCGGCAAAGACGTGCATAAAGCTACGCAGACGCGCATCACGCTCCACCAGGCCCGACTCGCTGGTCATGTAGTTGAGCATGGCCTTGATCAGGCCCGAATGGTTCACCTCGAACGGCGAGATGTCGCTCTCCAGGAGGATTGTCTTAAGCTCCAGAAGGGCATCCAGACAGTCGTGGTAGCTGCCATTGAGCTTGAACAAGATGCTGGACAGACGCTCCAGGACATTGGTGCTGCCCGCGGTCGACAGCGGGGCATTGTTGCCCGCCGCTGAAGAGGATCCAGAGGCTCCATTGTTTCCACTTTGAGATGTTCCACTTTCCGAAACACTTTTGCTCCTCCTGGCCTCCTGCTCCGTGTAGCGCTTGACAAAGTCTATGGCCTGTTCCCGCACCCATTGGCGGGCTCTCTCCCGATTGGCCGCCGCCAAGAGATTGGCATGGGAAATGCTCTTGCTGATGCTGGCCGCAACGGCAGCTGCGTTCAGTCCTCCCTGGGCGCCAGCGCTAGCTCCATGCTGGGTCACTGTGTAGGCCAAGCCGGATGCAGAACCAGTTCCAGCATTGGCATTGCCGGAATCTTTGGAGAGGCCATGGTGGTGTTGGTGCTGCTGCGACTGCTGTTGCTGCTGCTGGTGGTGATGGTGGTGCGCCGTTGTTTGGCGACCCCAGCGTGCCGGATTGAGGGAAGCCAGGAAGGATGACTTGCTTGAACCGGCGCTGGTCGAGTTGCCGCCAGCATTGAAGCGAGACTTTGAGCCACCGGACCCGCTGCCAGAGCTAGGCGTGCTCCTGCCGCCAGTGCCGCTACCAAGACCTGGAAAGCAAATAGAAAATAAATCCATCCTGGAAAGGGATTAAGCCCTTAATATGACTTACTCGTAGCTCGGCTGAGTAGTTCGTGCATGGCGGAACTGGCTGACGCTGACGTGGCTCCTCCTGCTCCAATTCCTGAACCTGCGGCAACGGAGGCTGCATCCTCCTGACGTGACTTGGCCCTGCCGCTGCTCTGCGACTTGCGCTTGGGCGGCGCCTTTCGCTTTAGCATGTCCGTCATCTTGTGCTGCAGTGCCGAGGCCGAGGACGACGATGAGGAGGATGCCGAGGATGCAGAGGCAGCAGCACTGCTGGTTGAGGCCACCACCAAGTGGGCTGCCTGCTGCTGTTGCGGCTGGTAAATAACCTGTGGCACAACCTGTTGTACACCAGTCGGTGGCAGGAGCTCCAACTGGGGTGGTGGCGCTGGCACCGCCGGCTGCTGGAAGTGCACATACTGCCGGGGATCCCCCTGCTGAGCCGCAAAAAAGGCAGCGGCAGGCGCTCCAGCCGCAGCTGATGATGAGGATGGCGCCGAGCTGCTATAATTGTAACCACTTGCAGCGGGCGCCGAGGTGCCAGGGGTGTCTACTGGCCCGGCAGTTGCTCCTCCCTTGGCACTGGCCGTCAAAGCGTTCATGGCATGCGAGAAGCTCTTCACGCTATATGACTGATGTTTGCTGCTGCTGCTGCTTGGGGTTGTCGAAGCACTTGATGACCCCGGAGCACTGTCCATGAAGAAGGGATTCACCTGGAGGCTATTGGCAGAGGCCGGTGCCGACTGAGATCCGCCCGCGTTAGCGGTGGGCGTGGCCGTCGTGCTTAGTGGCTTTGGCGATGGATTAGCGCAAATGGGATTATTCGGATCCGTGAGTTGGGTGAACTGGTAGATGACGCCTTCACGTCTAAAGTGAGTGCCAAAGACGTCGGGCAGCTGGCGCATCAGGATTTCGGCCATTTGCAAGGCTCCTACAACAATACGCAGATCGTTGCTGCCCAGCATGCCGGCAATGTGGCTGGAGACCAGCTGATACTTGAGAACCTGCCGCAGCAGCTCCGGCGTGGCATAGTAGACCATCCGGAGGAGGGCACGCAGGCATTTATAGCGCACATTCGGTCCTGCCGATGAGCTGTAGACCTCGTACAGCACATTGAATATGTGCTTGATGAAATCCGCTGCCAGGCCGCGTTCCTCCTTTAAAAAGAAATCAAAATTATATATTTGTTTAAAGCGAATTAAATAGGATTTAAGGGACTTACCTTAAGGCAGGCAATCCTGGCATCTAGGGAAGGCCGACGCTTGGCTTGGCTGCCACTGCTGGTGCTGCTTGGTGGATTGTTATTGTTATTGTTGTTGTTGTTATTTGAGGCTGCCGCAGCTGCTGCCGCGGAGGTAGAAGCTCCTCCAGATGCCGCTGTAGCTGTGTTGGTGGTGGTCAAATCCTGTCCTGCCGTCATGGGCGCCACATAATTGTGATTAAGACGACGCTGCACTGGGCGCGTGGTGCCCGTATCCTCGTTGATCTGCTGCATGGCATGAAAATCCACGGTGTATGTGCGTCCAAAGGTGCTCAGACTGATCTCGTCCTCGCTGCTCTGGTTGGCCGCCTCAATTAGCCGCGAATCAATGGTGGAATAATTATGCCAGGAGCCACGATCATCGCGCCACTGCCAGTGCACCTGATCCTGAGTATTCAGCGTGGGCCTGTCCAGTAGCGAGTCCACGGCAAAGATGCCATCCAAGGGCAGACGCGGCATTAACTCACCAATAAGACAGGTCAGTTCGTACAGCTCCGAGGGTGAGCGTGAGATCAGCTCGACGTGGGTGGCACTGGCCGCCGCCGGCTCTGCATTTCCAGTTAGCAAATACAACAGGGTAGCCGCTATATCGTTCCTCAGCAGCGATATTGCCAGATCCGGGCAGCTGCCGCACATCAGGCTCAACATTCGCACCACGGCCGTAAAAGTTCCCGTGTTTAGAATGGCCGGGGTGACCAGCAATAGTTGCTGACAGTTCTTCAGGAGATCGGGACTGGCAATCTGCTGCAGGCGCTGGCCATCTTGCTGGAAGCTCTCCACCAGGCGGCAGAAGGCAGAGCACACGCTCTCCACACACTTCTTGTCCTGCTGCGAGAGGAGACGTGCTAGCAGAGGCAAGCTCTCCGACACAAAGTGAAACTCCTCCGGGTGCATGTTGAGGCAACAGTTGGCTGCAATCGCAAGAGCTGCACGCTGAGCCACAATCGAGAAGAAATCCAGGTAAGTAAGGCAGGCCGAGATGCCATTTGCCTGCAGAATGGCCTTGTTATGACGCCGCGAGAGTATCTCCAATGCCGTCAAACTCTGCTCGGCCACATCCATGCACTGGATGACCTGGAGTTTCTCAAGGAACACCGGAACAGCCTCCACCACGGTTCCCGAGGATCGGGGCAGTGCCTCTAGCATGTAGGCCAAAGCCCTGCACGCATTGTTCATAATGTCAAAGTTGTGCTCCATGCGCAGCAGCTGGATGAGGGCAGGCACAACCTGCTTGATGGGAAAGCCAGCGAGGGTATCCTCATTGCCCATTACCAGCATCTGGCACATTTCGATGGCAGCCTGCAGTTGCTGGGACTCGTCATGGGATTGCAGTCCCTGCAGTAGTTGATTCGCCTTCGAACTGCTGCTGTTGCCAATAGTCCGATGGAGGATGTGCGTCATCCTTGGACCCAGAGCACCGAACAGATGTGGCGGCAGGCCGCGAGCCTCGAGCAAGGCCTGCAAGCGACCCACCTCACTGTCATCGCTCTCCGAATCGGCGGCGGCTGCAGCCGCTCCGCCCGATCCGCCGCCATGCTGGCTGCCGCTGCTCGTCGTCCCTGTGGTGGTGTGACCGCCGCCGCCGCCACCAGGAACAGACCCCGACCCAGCTGCGGTTACATTGTTGCTGTTGCTATTGCTGGCTGGTTGGCCGGCACTGTTGTTGCTGCTCGTCGCGCCCACGGCGCTGGTGTTTCCTCCAGATGCAGCTGCTGCTCCAGTGGCTGGTACTGCTCCTCCCGCGCCTCCTGCTCCTCCTCCTCCGATGTCACGTGCGGCACTCAGAGCGGCCGCAACAATGCTGAGATTGGCAGAGTTGGCACCTAGAGACGCGTCCCGAAGGAAGGCAAAAAACGGATCGTTAGTATCAAGGTCGGACATTGCGGCGTTTGGAAACATTTAGGGGATAGGCTTGAGATTCTATTATTCGTGAGTACGAAGGAACATGAAACAAATATGTGGGGGGAAAAAAACAAAGGAGAGGAAAGGCTCAGGCTACCATGTTGTGAATTTTGAAACTAATCCGGAAGCCTATCAAAAAATCTGTTCTAATGATTTTGATGATTTTTAGAATGGTTGTAAGAATACTTTCAAATACAAATTCAGTTGATTTCAAATATCCAGACTTAGAGCTGGAAATAAAATTGATTCTATAATCGATTAATCGACATTTTTAACAATGCGAGTCTCGAGGAAGGCCATTTACCGAATCGACTTAATTGAAAAAGTTATATACGTACGTATGATGTAAATCCATATATAATTTAAATTATTTCCGTTATCGATTTTAAGCGATTTACTTGTAGAATTGTTTAACAAAAAAATCTATTTAGAGAACATCCTTTTTATTTTCAGCTCTATTCAAGAGTAAATTAAAATTTCATGGACCATTACTTTCGACGTGAAAGTCAAAAATAGCTGGGTTTTTGATTTTAAATCCATCAAGATTTCTGCAAAATTCCTTTATGACGTTGGAAAATAATTTAAGGTCTAATCAATGGAAGTACAACAAACAATATAAATACATTAAATGTAACTAAATTAAGACTAAAAGAGCAAAACTAAAACGTAAGCTAAGGTTGGGTTAGGAATACAGTAGGGAAATGGGTAAAAATAATAACGAAAAATATCAAGTGTGCTGCCACCTGTGGGGTCACCTCTGTATGTGTGCTTTGTGTCTTTGGGGGGGTGAAAAATAATATCAAATCAAAAGCAGAATGTGTGTGGGGGGAATACAGTGCGCATATGATGTATACTGATCGATAGGTTGTACGTTTACCTGGCGTTAGTTGCTGTCCACCTGCATGCGGCGGTCCACTTGGCGGTTGTTGTGCCATCAAACTATATGTTAAAGCATCCGAAGCTGCTAATCAGATAAGGGGGAGACGAAGGCGAAGACAAAACGGGTGATCAAGGAACACGGAGCGACAGCGAGTGGGCAGGATGCGAGAGAGAGAGAAATTGAAAACAATGTTTAGCTTTCTATTTATTAATTTAATTCAATTAATTTTTGGGATCTTATTTTGGGGCAGACACCGCGAGCAAAGCAACGCAGAATGGGCGAGCGGGAGACAGGTGAAAAGAGACAGCGAGAGAGAGGGTCTGAGGGGAAAGTGCGCTATTTGATTTTTCTTTCAGTGCATTATGGGTAGTATTATCACCTAAACTAAAGCCAGCACCAAAAAGAGAACATAGACCAGGATACTACATATTTTGTACAATATTGCAAGAAGTTTTTCTTTACATTTTCGGAAAGAATTTTCAAAGAGAAATTCAAAATGTAACTAAAATTGTTAGCAAATTTTGAAAGCGACGAAATACTCATCTCACCACAATTGTTTTGAATTTGATTACAAAATCCTGTTCAAATTAAAGTAAGCAAAGATCATAATGGGAACTGTAGGTCTATACAGCGGACCACAATTGAATACAGCCTAGGAACTAGAGCTGGAAATATAATCGATTTCTTTCAATTTTGCGAACCGAATCAGAATTGAATTAATCGAAAATGTTCTACGTTGGCCTAACAAAATAATCAAAGTTATATCATTCTATAAATTTAAAATTTCCGATGGCATATAACCGTTGAAGAACACCTAACAATTGACATTTAAATTCAAATATCGATAGAAAAAAGTAAAGAACAATAAAATTACAAATATATAATAAATATTTCAATTTTCGATTTTAATGGATGTATTTGTAGAATTTTTTTAAACTGACTCATTCAAAATCGATTAATTTCCAGCTCTACTAGGAACCTATGCATACCCCAAAGTGCGTGCGTGAGTGTGAGAGCTTTCTTGGTCCTAGAGAACTTTCCTATATATGAAACCCTGTTAACCCTGTTTTATAAATTTAAGGGGGTTTTGTCTAGTGACTTTTTGGTTTGCTTGCGGTTTCTTCTCCATTCATCCTACTTCTTTCGTCTTCCTTTCTCGCAAGGAGAGGGTTCAACATCATCATCATCAACGTCTCATCTTCTTCTTACCACTGCTATGCGTCACTTTGGGGCCCTGATGTACAATTTGTTGCGTCTGTTGTTGTTGTTGCTGTGTGTGTGGATGTTGCTGCTGCTGCGGATGATTGCTGCGATAACTGAACAAGAATCCCGGCTGCACGAGCGTGGCACGCTGCTGCTGCTGATGTTGCTGATGTAAAGCCAATTGCTGTTGTTGTTGCTGCTGCTGCTGCTGTTGCAACTGTTGCTGATGACGCACGGCAACAACAACGGTATTGCCGCCCACCTGTTGGTATTGATAGGTACCAGGCGGTGGCAGCAACTGCTGCTGTTGATGCTGTTGTACAGCAGCAGCAGCGTTGCTATGTTGCTGCTGGTGGTGCTGCTGCTGTTGTTGCTGCTGCTGCTGTGCTGCTGCCGCTGAACTCACGCAAGAACCCGTCTTGCCACGTGAACTGCGTCGCAGTGAGGAGTGTTGTTGCTGTTGCTGTTGCTGCTGCTGATTGTACGTAACCTGTTGCTGTGGCGGCACAAACGTAGCCGTTGCTGGCACCGCTCCTGCCGCTCCCGCTGCTGCCGTATAACGAGTAAGCTGAGGCGGCGGCTGCTGTTGCTGATAGAGAGCTGGCGGGGGTCCGGCGCCTGTGGAGGTAAAATGGTGTGGTGGTGGAGTTTGATGCAACACGGCCACTGAATTGTGGTAATAGTGCTGCGGCTGATGTTGCGGCTGATGATGCTGATGCTGCTGATGATGCTGTTGATGCTGTGCAAAGTAAGCGGCAGCAGCAGCGGCCGGTGGATAGTGTGCTGCTGCTGCTGCCGCTGCTGCTGCTGCTGCGGCGGCTGCTGTTGGTGTCACAAAGGAAGACAAGTGTGCAAATTGATGTGTGGGCAGCAGTTGAGGTGGCTGTTGTTGTTGTTGTTGTTGTTGTTGTTGGTGTGCTTGCTGCTGCTGCTGTGACGGAGGTTGTGGCGGTTGTTGCTGCTGCTGCTGCGCTGTCAAGGCATATGGCGTGGTAGTTGCTGTTGCCGACGTAAGGTGCGGCATAATGCTGTAGTCAACAACGTTGTTGCTGCTGCTGCGCGTGGCACGTGGCCCGCCGCCACCCCCCGCCCCCTGTCCATGGGGGGCGGCACGTTGTTGATAACCGGACGACGTTGTTGCTGTTGGTGTCGCCTTTATGGTAGTTGTTGCTCCTGGTGTGTTGTTGTTTTTTGTTGTTTTACGTGGTTGTTGTTCTGGGTTGGGTGTGTGTGTGACAGAGAGAAAGAGAGAGAAATTGGTGGTAGAGGGAGTAGAGAGAGAGAGAGAGAGAGAGTGGTGGGAAGACAGCTTTATTTATTGATGTTTTCATTCATTTTTCTTGGATTCGTTTTTGTTTTAAGTTATTTTCTTGCAGCTACACTACTTTGGAGTTAGTTTTTGTTGTTTGATTTGGCTTGCTTTTTTATATATTTTAAGTTTAATGTTTAATGCAAAAAAAAAAAGATTATTTTGAGCGCAGTGTGTTTGATTTTTGGCTTTCAAAAAGTGGTAATTAATAGCAAGGGGAAATCAGGAGAGGAGACTGAACGACTTTCTGTCGCTGACAATGATGATGTTGCTGCTGCTGTCGCTGCTGATCTTGCAGTTGTTACTGCTGCTGCTACTAAATCTCTGTCACACTAAGCTAAGCGCCCAAAGCGCACAACACGCACACACACACACGCACCGCACTTGGTGCTTTCAGTTATTAATTCCCCAATATGCTGCTTAATGTTTATGCTGCTGCTGTTGTTGTTGTTGCTGCTGCTGTAAAGTTGCTGTTGCTGCATTACTCTCTCATCTCTCTCTTTTTCTCTGCTGCTGCTGCTGCTGTTGCTGCACACACACAAATGCCGTCCTTTGTTGACACCAAAATAAACTCGCACCATAGTCGCCTTTTTGTTTATTGCTTTTGTGCACAAAAACAACAACATCATCATCATCATCAACAACACAAGCATCTCAGCATTTCGAAATATATTCTTCGACTCGAAAATCAAGCGATAAGAAGATATCAGGATCATTTTCATCACTTTTCGCTTTAATTTTAAAAATGATTCAGTTCATATGATTTGAAATGAAATGAAAGAAACTACATTTGCAACAACAACAACAACAACAACGTGCAAAAAAATAAACATTTTCTTTGGGAGAGTTCATCAAAATATATGTTTGTAAATCCAAATTGAAAATAAAATCAATCTCAACACTTCTTTTTAGTGGCGTTGTTGCCTAGTCCGCGTGCCTGTAGTCGTTATCCAACACTGACACTCGAGTGTGACACCCCCGCACACAAAATAATAAATGTGTATTCAGAATAACATATGAAATAATAATACAAGAAACCCCAACCGATTCTTGCATTAATAATAATAACTCTATCGTGTAATACATAAACAAATAATGAGGGATTATATTATAAATGTGGGCGTATTTCTTGGCAATTCAATGAAAGGCTTACAGTAAAAATAAAATAATATAAATGAAGGGCAATGAAGGGGTTGGGTCAAAGGGTCCGGTGCATGGGTGGGTACAGGTAATGCTAATAGTGGTGGATAATAAGTTTGACCACAGGTGACAGCACAGCCAAAAGTTTTGAACACTTTCCCTGGATTAATAATGCTCACTTGGAACCATTTATAAAATGTTTTTAGTTACGTACATGCAATTTAGCAACAAAATACTCCTCGACTAGGTTCACTTTGACTACGAAACTGTCTTAATCAGCGCAATATTATGTACAATATATATACATTTATATAGTTAATATATATTCCGGTTCCAGACGGCGCAATGTACGAATTCAGACTGCCAGCCCGATCGCTTGTCTCGGGCATTTTTGAGTGCGTTGGCACGGCCAACATTTTTGTTGCCTTTTTATCAAAATCGCAAAAACAATATACAGTAGACATTGGGGGGAATAGCTATCGGCAAGACGAAAGCACTTCGTAGAAGAAATGCTTCGTCAATGTGTAAGTATTCTTGTTGTATTTGTTTTTTTTTTTTCTCCCTACTGATAACAAATGCACGAACTGATACGACAATAAAAATCACATTATGCCAACAGCAATGCAAAAAATGAAAGTCATTGTCTAGCCAAAAAAATAAATGGCAACACTGTAGACTAAAACATTTCAATTTAAGCTTGGAAATCTATCAAATTTAGAAAGATATTGTTGAGCTTTTCAGGAAACGTATTATAATAATTAAAAGATTTTAATAATAATTTACTGCGCATTTTGAATTCGATTCATAAAAAGGCAAACAATCGTTTACATTATTTTATATTCAACAATTCAACAACTCCTATTTTTATGGCTCCTCAATTTTTTAAAAAACGTTCTCTCCTATTCAAGTGAGCAGTTTTAGGCAAAATAATAAGTTAAAGATTTTGAAATAAATAATAACCTATTGCCTTTAGGGAGAAATGATATTAATAGAAGAAGGTTAATAAGCATGCCAAAACCTAAATAGTTCTGAATAGTTGAAGGTTTAAGTGAAACTTTCAACTGCAATTTCAAAGGACAATTCTAATATCTACACAACAAAAATAGGGGGAAAAACAAAAATGATTTACGTAAATATTTACAAAGCAGGTCTACAAACATACGATTCGATTTAAAAGTTTAAGCAGATGGATGCAGTGCACACTGAAAAAGCAGGAAATCGCTTAAACTCACCACTAAGTTCACCAATTAGTTGATGAGCAAGATCACTGTCCGAGAGGTCCTCCTCGTCGATATCCTCGTCCTCCTCGATGTCGTCGTCCTCGTCGTCGACTTCTTCTTCTTCTGTGATCTCGTCCTCTTCGGCAACTATCTGGGCGTCTTCCCCGTAGGACGAGTCAGCCGAGTTTACAATGTCGTAGAATCTCTCCTCCTCCTCTTCTTCCTCCTCGTCGTCGTCCTCCTCCTCGTCGTCGTCGTTGTCGTCCTGCTCTTCAGACTGGCTCTCCGCCTCCAACTGTCCCTGAGTGTGGTTGACTGTGGCCTCTGGGGTATTTAAAGACGTCTCTACGGCAGGCAACTGGCTCTCCACGTCCAGATTCCCGTGCTCCGGCTGCTGTGCCTCAGCTCCAGCTTCGGTTCCAGTTCCCGATGATCCGGAGATCTCTGCGTCCAGTTGATTTTGCTGCGAGTGGCGCAAACTCTTTCTATACTTTCTGGACACAATCGACTTGCTACTGCTAGATCCGCTGGGTCCTGCTGCAGGTCCCTGCAGGCGAGTCTCACTGACGTTGGTTGCAGCCGCTTCCTCTGCCCTTTGAACTGGCTGCTTGTTTAACTTCTGAGAGGAGCGCGTGTGGCTGACCTTTCGTGTCTTGCGGTAATAGTTTAGCAGATTTCCACTGCCAACTGTGCGAGCAGAGCCGGCTGCACCTCGCTGAGGAGTGTCCTCTGCCACAGACCTTGATCCGCCGGGGCTGGCCTTCCGTTTGCTACTATTTGTGCCCGGGAAGCTGCTGGAGCTAGTATTGGCTTGAATCTGGTAGTGCTGGTGACGCGCCGCTGCCCTGCTTGTGCTGGGTAGATCGTCCGGGGAAACGGTCTTGGAGCGAGTGCGCTGGGCCACACAATCGGCGCCGAATGCCGGATGCGGCGTATGTTCAGTAACTCCGGCTGCGCCTCCGCCGAGTTCTAATCCCAAGGACTCGTGACTATTGTGCTCTGCCGGCTGCCGACGGCGTTTTCTTATCGGCGACCCGAGCTCCACCAGCTGATCTCCGCCGTGCAACGCTGGAAAAGGCATCGGAGAGAAATCAGAGGTATTTCTTATTAACCACTAAATAGACGGCAATATTTTTTTTTTCTTTTTTTCTTGGTCCAAGGGATTTTTTATAGCTGGGGATGAAGGAAACGATTGGCTGGGGTTTGAAATTTGGACAATTATTTTACAAATTCTTAAATTGACAAAAGTACAAAAAGTAAGTAGCATCTAAAATTATGTCGTTTACGTCTGAGGGAACTATTCTGGCTATTTATAAAGTCCTTTTACTAGGTAGGTAGAAAAATCAATTCAAATTATGTCTAAGAGTAGGCAACATTTTACAAATAATAAATAAGAAAAATAAAATGGTTTATCCCAAACAATTTCAAATCCCTACAGCTCTTTCGCTTTTCCTTCCATATTGTCAACTCTACGCATTTATAAATAAACTTACATTGATGGCTACTACTGCGATTGTTGCTACCGCTGCTGCTGCTGTTGCTAGTGGTGTTACTGCTGTTATGCTGTTGTTGAAGCTGACGCTTGCGACTGCCTGGTGAAATCGATTGGTCACCAGGATTGGTCGGGATGGTGTTGCGCTTGGAAATATGGGGCTCCTTGCTTATGTTGTTGTTGTTATTGTTGTTAATTGCTGCAGAGGAGTGGCGACCTTGACTGCACGAACGACGGGTGGCGGAGGATGATGCAGTTGCTTTTGCTATTGAAACTACTTCGACGGATGTAACGACAGCAGAGGACAATGGTGATGTGGGATGGGGGTTGTTGCGTTTCTTGTTCTTGCTGTGGCTTTTGTTGCTATGGTTTTTGTTGCGTCGCCGCTGTGACGAGTGATTTGATGTTGTTGTTGTATTGACAGCAGCAGTATTATTAACTAATGCTGTAGGTGTTACTCCCGTTGCTGTATTACTACCGTCGTTGTGCTGCCCCTCCGTCAATGCAGAGAGCGATTGACTTTTAACGGATTCGGCCATAGACGACACTTAACCGCACCGGCATCGAACACACTTAACATGCCAACACAACCAATAATTGAATATTGATCTCGAAATGTTTACTTTTTGAATCGATGATGCGATAACGAGTATATCGTGAAAATTGTCTCTAAAATTAGATTTAAACGACGTTTTTGCTGTTTTTTGTCCTTTTTGTTCAGTTATAACATGATAATCGATCATTGATCTGTTTTTATGCACTTTTCTGTTTCACAGGTTTACTTTTTGCCGATTCCCTTTATTATTTGCTTCGTCGGACAGAGTTTTGTGCTGCAATAAAATATAAGAAAATTCTGTTAAAACAATGCGAGACAGAATAGTAAAATAAAACGTATCACATGGTGGATAATGAAGTTATCCGTCTAAATTCATCTGTAGATAAAAATAGCCATAAGGGAAATTGAAAAATAAATGAACCTTTGTCTCACCCCAGGAACTCAAAAGTGCAGAAAACTGAAATGGAGACAACCAAAGTGATCGGCGAGCAGACAGGAAATGTTGAAATCATGAGTAGGTAGCGTCCAAATGGAGAACACAGCCGAGAGAGCCCACAGAACTAGTAGAACCGAAAACACACACATGAGATACAACAGAATACATGTCACTCTTTGGGCCTCTATATAGCATTCAAGTGAATGTGAAAAACCGGCTCAACTCAAATCAGGGGTAGACGGAAAAAGGGAGAGAGAAAAGACAGGCAAAAGAGAGCGAAACGGACATTGCTAAAAGGGATTTTTTTTTGTTCAGGACAGGTACAACACGCAGACAATGGAAAATGCCACGACCACATGTATGTTTATTCACATCTATTGATTTAAATCAATGAACGTTTAAATGCAGCTAACAGCTTAATAAGCCAATTTATCTCCCAAATAGGGTCACAATAAGATTTAATGGACTAGCATCGTTTTACAGTTGAATTAATAACCAATATTGGCGATATTATATTATTAATAAATATTATTCACTGTAAGCAGGGGCATTGCGGCTTTCTATTTTAATTGCTTCAAATTTTATTCTTAGTAAAATTACATTTACCTTTCACCAAGTTCAAACTAACAATTTACAAAACTTTTTTACACTTTAGTAGAGTGCACTTCTTGAGTATATTAAAAACATATATAAATATGTTATATTCTATATTCCAACTTCCTCTATTTAGTTTTTAAACAAATTAATTTTTCCTGCAAGACAAAAGCCATGTTGGCACCGCTAAAGAGCAATGAGAACTAAAAAACGAAAAACTGATAACAATGGAGATAATACATGCATATATACACCACCTAGAAAAAGATACACACCACCGTACTCAGAAACTCAGGAGAACACCCCTCCGCACACACTTGAGCGCATTTGTCAACATGTGAAAACTGTAAATAAGTTAACAGCTGTTTGGCAGCAGCAGCCACCGACACGTGCAAGCAAGCGAGAGTATGAGAGAACCATGCATAGAGAGTGAGAGAGAGGGAGAGAGAGCAAATGTTTTGAGTGAGAAAATTGAGCGCACATACACTCGCGCACAGCTGGTAATCAGCTGTTCTCGGCCGTTTTGTTTATGTTTTGCTTTTCGTAATTCCCAGCGTGCTTCGGCCTGTGTATGTGTTGGCTATCTGCCCCCTCTTCCTATGTGTGTGCGAGCGAGAAACAAGTTTTGCGAGCGTGTGTGAGTGAGCGCTGCCATGCTTGCTTCGCTGCCAGATAGAAAAGAAGACGGAATGAAAGAAAAACCAGAAAGGCAGAGGCTTTTTGCCTTTGCCGTTGAATGCTTCCCCTTCTTAAATCAGAACGTGTTCTGTTTTTGATCTGCGCCCTTTTCATACGTATGAATTGGGAAACCCTCAAACCAGCCGATATGTATCGCCATAACCCAAAAAATGCGTAGTTCGAACATGTCTGCCCTTTTACGACTCGGTTTACTTTATCATTTTTTCACTTCCAGTTTTTGAGCTGCTTCAATGACAGTTCCACTCAAATTTAATAGGCAAACACGAACTGCACAGGCAAGCTTAAACCGAATAATACATAAGCACATAGAAAAAAATTTATAAAATTAAATGCGAATACAAAAAAATTGAGTTCAAGGCCGTTAAAATGAAACCCACAACAGACCAAACAGACGACGACAACGGTTTTGGTTTGTTGGAAAATTAGGTGTATTTGGCTGAGACAGAGTTTTCATTTGTTTTTCGTCGGTCAGAGATGGCAGCGTGATACAAGACTGAACATGTTTTTTCTTTGCGTTTTTATTTAATTCAATCACAGTACACCCTTGAAATGACGAACTGATAACTGATATCGTAATCTTAAACTTAAAAATCTTAAACATTTCATTCTACAGGCGGTCATTTGTAGATTTATAATTTTATTGAGAACATTTAACCAAACTGGACAATTGTCGACATCGCCCCGACCTGGGTCTTATAATCTACACACCACAGCCACTATATCTACTCGTATCGCTGCCCCACAAGTTTTTCACACCAAAAGCACAAACGAAAAAATAAGCGAGGCCACAAATGGCAGCGCCTTCATGCACGAGTGTGCGAGTGTGAGTACGTCTGCCAGTGTGTGTGTGCGAGTTGCTTTGCGTGTGGCAACTCCAACATATGGCGACTGCTTTGTGGTTGCTGCCTTTCATAGTCAATTTAAAAATGTGAAACAATTGAGGGGACTCAGGCAGGAGCAGAATTCTTTCCTCCTTTACTCTAAAACTCAGCTTAACATTTTTTAATACCACAACAAACCTCCTTCCGTAAAATTGATAATTATAGAAGCTGTAGTATTCCGTTTATATTTAGAGTTTGGGAGTCTACTAAGTGCGAGAGTTGGTGGTTCAAATGAGAATTTCGATAGTAGTAAGACGCAAATTACCCTGACAACCCCCAGAAACTATGCGGGAGTGCGACAACCCTGGCCCGGGAGCATAATTGATAACAATTTGTGTCTGTGTGTGCTACGCTGCCCTCCCATCCAACCATTCCACCCCTTCTTAATTTTTCCCCTGCTCGTTATGCATTGTGCGTGCTGTGTTGTTGGCATTGTTTGTAACTTATTTGAATATCGTTGTAAAAACGCAGTCGAGCGCATATTGAAGCTGGTCCCAATAGTGGCACAGTGACTAGTAGTAGGGCTGGCTGCCCTAGCAAGTTTTCTATTTTCCGCTTTCCATTCCCCCATCGCAAAGTAGCGTTTTCCCTCCCTTTCCGATTCCAAGTGTTACGAAACCTGCCTACGCACAGCTGAGCGTGCGAGCGGGACGGCCTACACATGACCAACACAGCGACGTATCTGACAGCTGGGGTCAAGATAACAGCACAGCGCGTTTGAGTCGTAATAATGTATCTTTTGTAATTCTCTTAAAAGAAGAACCTCTAAAAGAGGCCATTTATAAATATTTATCAAATTCATTGTTAATTACAGCTAACTGTTAATTAAGGTAGTTCCTTTCTTCCAACTTACGACTCATTTAAACAATTTATATGAAATCTAGAGAAGAAATAGACAGGGGAAACTATCAAAACTTCAACAATAAAAATACTTTAAAAGATATCAAATATTTTCCGTTAGTGCTATAATATTGCCCTGTGCTGTGGCCTTTAAGTGGGAACCGTTTGCTCAAAGCGAATTGTGTCGCACTCCCCCGAAAAGGGAATTACGTAGTTCGACTTGGTCGGATGGAAGTAAAAACGCAATAGAACCGCCACCTGGCAACCCTATCAACTGGGTGGGCGAGCGATCCGCTGGGTGGCAGTGGGCAGGCATGCAACAATTAAACTCCGAAGGTTTCTACGCCACACTCGGGGAATACTTGGGGTTTTCAGAGGCAAGGTCGCAATGGAAAACTTGTTGCCAAGAGCAGGGCAATCAGAAGTGTGTATATCCAGTGAAAAATTCAAGTATAAAGCCACATAATAGTATCGGGCCTTTACACAACTCGTTATGTACACAATAAAGCATATACGCATACAGACAGGCACCAACACTCTCACAATCTCGACGTCTGGTATATACAGTTATACACATTACTGGCTGCACTTTCCACAAGGCGAAAAACAGAAAGCAAAAAGTAACTTAAGACGGCCAATTCAACTTAATCTCTCTGGTAGTTTGTAATTATTAATAAAATGAAAATAATTAAATTTCGATTGTATAAAAAAATTAAAGAAAAAGAAAAACGCAAAGGGGAGCACACGGCGCTGCATGTGAGAGAAAGAGAGCGCACGAGGGCAAGCGCATGACGACGTATACACCGACACAAACACACACACACAAAGGAGGAAGAGGAAGAGGAGGTGGAGAAAAATAAGTCTCAGTATGTACAACAATATAACGAAATCAAGCGAGGAGCAAAACTTGATGCATACACAATTTGTGCGATTTGCATGCAAGAATTTCGTTTTTAAGTCAAGTCCAATGCAGCGTAATACTTTAAATTATATAAACAGCAGCACCTTCACACAGTATGTATCGGGTATATAGAAAATCAGTCGTTTGCATTTTCCTCTGACTTTTCAGCTCTGCACGCACTCAAATCCAACTCGCGAATGAAACAGAAAAAGAGACTACAGAAACGTCGGCAGCGTTCAACGGAAAATGGCGACTGCGAAGCGAGAGCGCCCCACTGAGAGTCTCTGTTTGAGTGGAAGAGAACGAGTGAAACGCTATTCGGGGTCAGATAACCATATCCCTAGAATCCCCATGCTGGCGTTTAATATTTAACAAGTATTTTGTAAGAATACAATTCACAAAGTATGCCCCTAGTTGCATTAAGAACCCAATTAACCAGCGACTAGAAAAACTCAATCCCCGCGAAAACAGGTCACTCAACCCCTGAGAATGAGGTCAACAAACCCCTCTCTCTTTCACTCTATTTCTATCTACGTAGTACTTGTAGCCCAACTGCCTTCTTTAAGCCTCTTCTTAATATGATATTGGTGAAAAGATTGATTTGAAATATACAAAATATATAAATAAGTTGAAATTCCTGATTTGTTTCCACTCAAAATGGCCGTGTGGCCATGTCGAATTGAGGGAGAGTAAGACTAGCCTCTTTGTTCTTTTTGGGGGTCGCTCCACACTCGCTGCTTCTGTACTCTTTGTCGATTTGTTCTCTCGCTCATTTTTCATGTACCTGTGTGGAGGCCCGTTATTACAGTTCACCTTCCTCCCCTCTGCGATCAGCTGATCGCGTGGCAGGTAGCAAGACGGAAAATTCGTGTGCGAGAGAATGAGTGAGAGTTGTTAACAATTTAAAACAATTCTAATAGGGTCGCCCACGTATCAAATGTACTCAGCTGACTTCCTCAAAAGGAGCAAGTGTGTTTGTGTGTGCATGAAAAAAAACTATTTAGTTAATCCAACTTTAATTAATTAAAAAAATATGCCCCACAAACTTTATTAATTATACAAATGATAGCTCAATAATCAGTGGTTTTCTGCAAGCTCAGTAGGAGCAAGAAAATTGAAATCTTGAGCAAGAGGATGGTTTTTAAAAAATAAAAAATAATAAAAACAAGTAACAGCATTTTATGAATATGCAAGCAGGCGGCAACTTGCTCTTTCACTCACTGCAACTGAGCTTGGGGAGGGAGAAAAGAGATACACACATACAAAAAGAAAGAGGGCGAAATGAGGCCACGGCTGATGACGAATTTGGGGCATAGGAAAACAATGATAAAGATAAAGCGGAAGAGCTTGCTAACTTTCGTTTGGCGAAAAATCAGTATATCGTACGTGTACCTTAACTAAATTCTATTTAGCTTAATGGCAGATTTTCCACACTAAAGAATTATTGAGTTATCCCTGTGGATGATGGTCGCCCACGTAGTGACGATGAGCACCGAGAGTGTGCTCAAGTCGTCAGTACATAAATGAAGATATAGATTTATTTATATTTGTTTGTATGTATGTAAATACGAGCAAAATTTAAAATCAGCTGTTGATTGTTTTTGTAGTGTAGCTAGCTCCTAAAACTCATTTAAAGTCTAACCTTAATCACTTCAACAGCAAGAATACTACTATTTGTAAGACTATTTGTGAAGCATTGCTTTGGACTTTTGAAAATCAGCTTGTTTATCTCGTGGTTAGGTTAAATAAGTATGAGAACTGATAAGGAATGGCCTGCAACAGGAACAGCTGCACTTATTTTACATTTTGCCTCTATACTCAAAATAAATATCAGCTGGTCGAAAGATATCTAATAAACGACTTAGCCGATCGGATATGGGTATGTTCAGCACATGTTGGACAATCGAACACCAAGTAATACTTTGTTCGTATCATAAATACCAGACAAAAACGGGATTATCATATTTATTTTTTTATTTCAAATTACTCAGCTCGTGAAAGACTGTATTACTTCGCAGCGTTATATTTCGGAAAGTTTGTTATCGGTGTTCAAAAAATTTTAAAATGGATACAAAGAAGGTTACGTCAGATAGTTTAGCCCACGTAAAGGGATAACAGTATAATGAAGAATAGTTTTGGATATTAACATATGAATATTGTTGGATCCAATTATAAAATAAAACACTTTTTCTGATGAAATGACAATATTTCGAAAAATCTTATTAAAGGGCAGCTGATTTGCTGTTTGTTTACAATATAAACTACACACAGACAGCGGGAAGGATGGAATGCAGGACCACATCCTGTCGAACATCGATTTGTAGATGAATGGAGTGTTCCTGATCGATCCCAATTGTAAGTTCCTCGTTGGAGAGTTGCAGGGCTCCAAAGAATGCCGAGGCTTTACGAGAATCCACGGAACAGGAGGCTTCTTGCTGAGATACAGTCAGAGATCGTGGCAATAATTTCTGGAATCGACTGGTCACCGTGGACATTTCAGAGGCGGCTATCACGCTGAGCTCTCCATCAAAACTGGCTTGGAATTCAAGACTGGGTGATATATTCTTCAGTTTATCTATAAGACTGCGCAGCAAACGCAGCGATGGCAAACTCAACGCCAGTTGGGAATTCGGCACCCTTGGCACCACATAGGCAGCCCAATCACTGGCCGGGATTATGGTCACTGGTACATCGTGGACCACTTCTCGGGCTTCAGATGATGATGACGATTGCACGGAGGCAATCACCGAAATGCAGGGAAACTGAATTCTCTGCAGCTTTAATTTACACATGCTGACACCTCCACCGCGGAGGACGGATAGAGCTCTACCAAGATTTGCCGATGACATGCTCAGGACTATATACTCCTGATCCGACCGGGCAGCTTCCATGCGATACTCTGGAAAATACTCATCGGCTGCAATGGTCGCCCAAACTAAGGGCGACGCAGCGGAGCTCTGGTCCTCGTTTACAATGAAGTGCATCTGCCGGTCGCCTAGGATCATTACACAATCCTTGGCCAGTTTGGCCAATGTGGCCACAATGGCTTGGAATTCGCGCATGTACATTGCATCCTGCATGAGGGCGCGGAACTTCATCTTTCCGGAAAGAACTGGGCGAAAGCGGCACCAAGAGATCAACAAGAAATAAAACGAAAATGAAAAAACAAAAACGGAAACGGGAATCAACGAGTGTCAGCTAAAAACTTGGTATAGAATACAACTACAAGTCTTGAATTGAAACTAATATATTTTTCTTGCAATATTGCCATGGTAATGCTAAATCTTAAATAGACTAAAAACCAATTTACTAGACAGTTATATAATTATTTTTATTTTAGGTTTTCTTTAGCGTCAATGTGAGAGTTAACATTTCCTATTTGCTTTAAGGATATCTATTAAAACCAAAACGGAGATTTATTTTGTCTGCAGAGTGACCACTGTAATTAGGGTAAACTCTTTTTGCTTCATATAAAGTGCAGGTTCTTTTTCGCCTTTGGAAGATGGGCATGGGCTAGACTGCCAAAAACAAACGAAACGAAAATCTCTAACCCTTTGAGCGGTGATGATAGGAAAAGGGCTGTGGGCTTGTTTGGATGATAAGGTGAATGAGGGAGGCAGTGGGTCGGGCGTACTTGCTCACTCTTTTCTCCACTTCTCTTCACAAGTTCGAGTTTGAGTTCAACGTACAAAGGCGCGCACACTCGGCCACAAATGAACTCAGACACACAGAACCGACGAGCACACAGAGAGAAAAAAACTAGAGGGAAGAGCCAGGCAAACAAAGCGCAGAGCAAGTTCCGAGTTGTGTTTTGGCTTTAATTTTTTTTATTTTGCTTTTGTGTTGATGGGGCGAAACGGTGTGGAAAGAGAAACGAAAACGAAGCTCAGCGAAATGAAACACAGACGCACACAAGCACAGCCATAAAAACTGCCAGGTTCTCCTCATTGCACACAAAGTCATCATCCGCAAGGAGACAGACACAACAGGATTTATATGCCGTGCCAATCTTGTAGGGGAGAATCCAGGGGTAGAGCAGGAGCGGGGGCTTCTGGCTGCCTGCTAATGTGTGTGCGTGTGTGTATGTGTGTTGAGACATCGGCGGAAATCAAATTATATGCCCCGTCTTGGGGGTCAAAATATTTCCCTTTTCGCAGTTCAATCAACTTTCAAGGTTAGCTGGGCGTTATCGGGCTCAATTCTTATTGATAATTCTGCTCTTTGCTCTTGTGAAGAAAATGTATTCGATTTCTAGCATTTACAGCGTTTATGCGGCGTAATTCGCGTTTAGATATTGTCAGAAGAACAGAAAATTTCAGAGTTTTCGACAAGTTCCCCAAAAAGTAATTTTTTATGCGCCCAATTTGAAAATTTCATAAAAGAAAGTTGGGTCTGTGGGCGCTTACTTGGAATAAAAAGTTTAAGTGACCAATATGAGATGTACAAAATATTTAAAGCAACGTCAAATACTATTTTATGCATGATGGAACCATGAAGGTGGCCTCGTCGACAAAAACTACGTCAACAAAAGTGAGTCAAAGGCTTTAAATGTTAATGTAAGCGAAGGAATAATAGCATATTCATTAACCCCTAGATTTGGGATTTAAAGATTTCGATTATTTTTATTTTTAATAATAAATAATTAAATCTTTAAAGCAAGAAAGTTGTTTAAGAACTAAATAATCATAATTTGATTTAGGAACAGAAGGTATGAACATAAATTAGTGAATTTAGATCATGCCAACATTCATTTGTGCGATTGAAAAATGACTTGATATGGAAAAGAACACAGAACACAAACTATTATGGCATACAAAATAGCATTTTAACCATAAAATTACAATTTACACTGGTTGTATTCTATTCTGCAACACGCTCAGCGTGAAAAGTGTTCACAACAATAGTGTGTGGGATTTAAAAAATAGGTTGAGTAGTTTTTTTTTTTAATAATTTTTAATTTTCAATCATTTTGATTTGGAAATGAGGCTTTGTTTTTGAAAGCTTTAACTCCTAAATTTATAATAAATAAAATGTTGGTCCCTTAAAAAGTTCTACTTTATGCATATGTCTTCGGCCCATTCCAAAAGTACATTTTCATTGGGGGTAATTTCAGAAAAACCGAACGTTCCGGTAGTCGAGAGAGACTACCTTATCTGGTTTATCTGTAGCTTCACTATATCAGCAAATTTATTCAGCACTTAATCATTTTTGCTTACATTGGGTTATTTGTAATATTGACAATTTTAGGAAATATGTTTTTTCACTTTAATGCAAATTATAAAATCGGTTGCAAGTATTTTTCACGGGAATCAATATGAAAACCAAAACATTTACGTCTTAAAATCCAGCTATCAATAGATTACAATTAATAGAATTAGTTTTTGCTTTTTTTTTTATAAGCTGTTTTCTAATGCAAGCTTAAAGGACGTTTTCCACACAAACTGACATTTTGCCAGCTTAAGGGAAATGCAAAAAGCAAGAGTTAGAATTTCTTGACTAGCATGGCCAGTGCTCTGCCCCCGGCAACAGCTGTTCACTTTTATTTTAGAATTCTTTAGAGTGTATGACGTCACAACATCTCGAGCTTATTTCACAAATTGGCGAATAAAGAGAAGTTGCCTAGAAATGTTCGTCATTGTTTTCGCCCGTCGAGTGCAGCATTACTTGCAAAAAAGAAAAGAACCTGACTGTGAGTGCAACGTGAACAAAATTATAATAAAGCTAAATACAAATTGTGGGCAAATGCTGAGATGTCAAAAATTAAACAAATAAGAATGAGAATTCGCCCTCTCCCTCGCACCCGAATACACAATCATATGCAGATGAAGTTTGCAGCATAAATAAAAGAGAAAGTAAAACTTGACGATGCTCGGTCTCCCTCCTCCTTCTTTATTCCCGGACAACATTCTCGCCTAATGAAAATACCAATTCGAAGAATAAAACACACACACACACACGTGCATAGTGAATACCCTACACATGGGGCAGACGCTTAATTGGAACCAAAAAACCTTGGTCCACGAGTGGGCTTGAGGGAAATGTGTAAAACACACTAAATTCCAGTCAGCAACCCGACGAATATTAACTTTTTCCTCCACTTTTACTGGGGAAATGGGGGAACGTCTTCTTGGCAGCCATTGTAAAAATCAATACCACCAGATTTCCGATGTGAAAAACAGCCACTTCCCAGTATGTCCCCTCCAGTTGAAGAGTTTTGCGGCCAAAAGGATGTGTGACTGGGCTTTTCGCAGCCCCCAACAATCACAAATCCTTCAGATATTGGCCACAAAAAGTGTATATAGGAAAAATGGTCGACATTTTGTTTTCCGTCTCGCTGCCTATTCGTGTGTTTGTGTGTGTATCTCGTCTGGCAAGCGACATGATTTTCCCAGAACCCCCGAATCCTGCCAAGATCGCGCGAATTAGATAGCTGCAAAGCACTTACCTCTCAACTAATTGCCAATGTTTTCCTATATCAGTTTTCTTTTCACACGCTGATTTCCACACGTAACAAAACTCCGACCGACTTTATAAATAACGATGGAGGTGGGAAAGCGTCGATTGCAACATCGATATTGTCCAAGTATCGATTCTGTAATCGATTTTTCGATTTCCGATATATATCGATATGTCGAAATCGAAATTGATTATTTTTATATATTTTTTATTTATTATAATTTGTGCTTCTTTGGGAGTCCCGTAATTCCGGAATTGGGTATTCTGTATTCCAACGGCCCAATAAAAAATCAATTACTTAATTCACTTTATTTCGGGCAAATCGGCCATTTAATTTAATTTTAAAAAATCAACCTTAATTTTCTTTAAATTCATAAATTTTTTTTTGTCTATTTATAATTAGTATTCAAATAATTAATATGATTTATCGAGATTAATCATCAGAATCGATTAATCGAACATGTTTGAAAGAGTGCGTGTAAAGTAATATGTCAAAACAAAGTTTTACACGTAAAATTACCTCATTCACCGACGATCTGGTACTTTTGGTCGCTCGTGCACGAAAAGTCTGGCAACGCCGGTCGCTCGTGCCATGAGCGACCGGCGTTGCCAGATCGTCAGTGCATGAGCGACCAAAAGTACCAGATCGTCAGTGAACGAGCGACCAAAAGTGCCAGATCGTTAACGTAGAGTTAACAGAGTTAGAGGTGGGGAGACATCGATGAAAACTAGATCTGGAAATATAATCGATTCTAGTCGATTTTTCACTATTCCGTTATATCGATATTTTACACGTAAAATTACCTGAACAATGAGTCTGGCAACGCTCCGATGATTCTTATCGACTCTGAAAATGTGAATCGATATCGATGTATCGCTAATCGATTGCATTTATTATTTACTTTGGATTTGGATTTAGACAAGAAATGCAGTAAACAAAGGCTACGTATACTCTGAATTGCTTCTTTGCTCGGCCCAAGACTGACGGACAGACTGACCCAGTACGGTGGTACTTACTCTAAGCCAATTGGGGTTTAACGACAGAAACACGTATCCCAACCAGCGGCAAACAAACCCCTTATCAGCGCCGAGAACAAGACGAGCCCAAAAAGCAACAACAAAGCCGGGAGAGAGAGAGGCAAGGTGAGCAAAAAAGTTAATTAAAGTCAAACATGTAGTCAGCCCCTCCCTCCCCTTCGTTCCCCACAGTTGGCTGCAGCAGTTCCGGCGAGAAGAAACAAACGTCTGCGAGCACTCTGGCATTTGGCACTTGAGGTCTGACGTGTCACTGCCAGATTACGTGTAATCAAGAAACGGAGCCGCGTCCAGTCATGTGCGGGTCCCCCAATCCGGCAGCCATGGGCAATGGAACGAGAGCCCTCATCCTCGTCGGCGGCTACGGCACTCGGCTGCGACCCCTGACCCTGAGCACGCCCAAGCCGCTGGTGGAGTTTGCCAATAAACCCATACTGCTCCATCAGCTGGAGGCGCTGGTGGATGCGGGTTGTCGGCAGGTGAGTAAATCAGTTACTGTTTTAAGCTACTAATACAAGTCCAAATTGCAGGTCATTTTAGCAGTCAGCTATCGAGCCGAGCAAATGGAAAAGGAACTCAAAGTCGAGGCCGACAAGTTGGGCGTAGAGCTGATCTTTTCGCACGAAACAGAACCCTTGGGAACCGCCGGACCCTTGGCCCTGGCCAAAACCATATTGGCCGCCAGTTCGGAGCCCTTCTTTGTGCTCAACTCGGATGTCATCTGCGATTTCCCATTCAAACAGTTGGTGCAGTTCCATCGCAATCACGGCAAGGAAGGCACAATTGTGGTCACGAAGGTGGAGGAGCCCTCCAAATACGGCGTTGTGCTGTACGATGAGAACGGATGCATCAAGAACTTTATCGAGAAGCCACAGGAGTTTGTTAGCAACAAGATCAATGCCGGCATCTACATTTTTAATCCCTCGGTCCTCGAACGGATCGAAGTCAAGCCCACATCAATAGAGAAGGAAGTGTTTCCGGCGATGGCCGAGCAGCAGGAGCTGTATGCCATGGATCTGACCGGATTCTGGATGGACATTGGACAGCCTAAAGACTTTCTAACCGGTATGCCTTGAATCACTTTCATGCTCCATTAGTTTTATCGCTCTTTGAGGCGTCTTCAATAGTGCTTTGCCTTTTCTCTTTTTATTTGGTTGCCTTATCTATGGGTGAGTGTTTCCTAGAAACTGTTTGATCGAGCGATTTCTGTATAACTGAAGTGGAGCTCATTAGTCTGATAGTGGGGGTTGCTGATAGCGGAGAAAATGGGAATTACTTTCTGTTTTTCAATCTTTTGCATGACATTTTTTTAATTTTAAATGTTGGGGTAATTATAGTTTTTCTGAACAGTTTTATTAGGGGAAATCCCCTAGAAATTACTTTTTATTCATTTAATATTATATATGTGTATCCGTGTAACTTTTACCTTTTGTCTTCGTCAAAATCGTAAGAGATAAAATTACAACGAACTGCTATTTTTAACAAGTTCTAAAAGAACCCCAGATTATTTATAAAAACAAAGGAAGGTGTAATTCTGGATTAAAGATTAAAGTACAATAATCATATAATAACTCACCATTAAAGAATGAATTAAAGAATGAGCTTTTTAGAAATCTTCGAATGTAATAACAATTCATTTAAAAAGGTAGTCTAGACTCAGCCTTCTTCCTGTTTTTTTATTTGTTAAAAAACTCTATTATTATTTTTTTGTATACCTTAGGTATGTGCCTGTACTTAAGCTCGCTACGCCAGAAGCAATCCCCCAAGCTGTACACAGGACCCGGCGTTGTGGGCAATGTCCTGGTGGATCCCACAGCTAAGATTGGCGAGGGCTGCCGCATTGGACCCAATGTCACCATCGGACCCGATGTGGTCATCGAGGATGGGGTGTGCATCAAGCGTTCCACCATTTTAAAGGGCGCCATAGTTCGCTCGCACTCGTGGCTGGATTCCTGCATCGTTGGCTGGCGATCGACCGTTGGGCGCTGGGTACGCATCGAGGGCATCACGGTGCTGGGAGAGGATGTGATTGTCAAGGACGAGCTGTATGTCAATGGTGGGCAAGTTCTGCCCCACAAGAGCATTGCGGCCAGTGTGCCAGAGCCGCAAATCATTATGTGAGATCACTTAGTGTATACACTTTCCTTCTGTTTTGCCCTTTCGGTATTCGATAAAGGTGCCTTCTGTTTCGATATTCCCTGGATGTATCCTTAGTGCTTAAGTCTAAAAGTTCTGCAATATATTTAAACGACGATGAGAAACATTTCCAGCAGTTAGCTTCGCTACATTAATTTATAAACTAGGGCTCAACTTCCGTCTCAGACGATGAAATGGAATATCTTGCATCAAGCATAAGCCCGAACCTTTTTCTACTTTGATAAGCAGAGCATAAGAACTATTCTTGTATTTATATAAACATTAGTCAAAATATACATAAAAATTTACGAAGAATAAGATAAACTAGTGTTATTTGATTTGAAATTATAACTTGGAAATGGGTAAAGAGAATGAACAGGGATATATATGGTTGCCTAGCAACCAATAAGGTATAAAAAAGCGCCACAACAAAACTAAACACCAGACAGAAGTAAAAGGTAAAAATGCTAAAATCCCTGACTCAAATGGATGGAAACCAGCCGCAGCCCCAGCTGCAGTTGCTCTGGGAGGACAAAGAAGTCAAGTTTGATGTTCCTCAGTTGTAAGACATAAAAGAACTACCAAAGGAGGCACCATCTCTAAATTCAATCATTGCAGACACAAGCACCTTCGCAGCGGAGAGCGTGTCCTGGACTATATATACCACATTGAAGATAGCAAAGGAAATCCGGGTGACACGGGTCGCTTAATGGTTACAAATCTCCGGCTTATTTGGCACTCACTTGTCCACAAGAAGTACAATCTGTGTATGTGACCCCCTGTATATGGTTCAGCCTTTCCTATTCCACTGAGAGCTCCTGTCTTTACCTTCCAGCCATTGGCTATGCTCGGATTGGCAACACCAACACTCGAATGGTGCACATGCACTCGAAGGGCCGGATGGCCAGTCAGGCTCTCTACATCCTGGCCATAAGCAACGAGACCCGCTTTGAGTTCCTCTTCACCGACGTCTCGGGCGAAACTTCACGCAGGGATCAGCCAATCTTTTCCAGTGTTTTCGATGTGTATCAGTAAGTGGGAAAATATTTTGACTTTAAATCTAATTTAAGATTGCTCCCTTAAGGTTATACCAACGTACGTATCTGTACCGCGACTTGAAGTTGCGCGGAGCCATTGTCCAGGCGGGGCAGTTGGTTATCCTGCCGGATGAGCAGGTCTTCAGCCAAGTGCAGGGCGTCTGGAATTTGTCCAGTGACCAGGGGAATCTCGGAAGTTTTGTGGTCTCCAATATACGCCTTGTGTGGTTTGCCGATGCCAATGAGACGTTCAACATAAGCTTGCCGTATTTGCAAATTGAAAGTGTAAGTTTTTGATTAACTTTACCTTTAAAGGCAGAAACCCTTGAATATTACAGCTTCTGATCTTGCTCCACAGTTACGCATCCGTGAGTCCAAGTATGGTCCTGCTTTGGTCATCCAAACGGCCGAGACGGGAGGTGGCTACGTACTTGGCTTTCGCATTGATCCCCCCGAGCGTCTGAACGAGCTGTTCAAGGAGCTTTGCTCTCTGCACACAATATACGGAGAGCAGCCAAACTTTGGCATCCAATACAATGCCCAGGATGCCCGTCAGCGCTTGGCAGCCGCCGCTGAGGAGGCAGCCCAGATGCCCCAGTTTAAGGTTGAGAACTTCGAGGAGCTGGATGAAAGGCAGGAGAGAGAGATCAACCTCAAACTGAACAGCTACCTAGCCGAAGGATGTTTGGGAAAGGTAAACAGTGTCAATGGTGCAGCCGATCAGGATGACAGAGAGGATCCTGTTTACTGCAAGGAACTGGGCTTTGCCATGGAACGAATTAGAGATGGGTACAAGTTACAGGATCTATGGAATGTTATGCCCACTAAAATGGAAACCATTGAGTGATTACCAGGATAATCAAATGGAGCATTTACATTGAGAGTCTTATGAGATCTTTATCTTATTATGAACATGTGAAGACACATTGTCTGGAAGATTAGAAAACAATAAAATATTACCATTTTTATTTTTAAAGTATTTTTTATTGACGCATACAACTCGCTGTGTGTTTAAGTAATTTTGCTTTTGTTTGGAATCGCTTTGAAATTGTTCTTAGCTTAGGGCTAATTTTTAAACATTTTTGAGTGTTTCGAATATTTTTCCTTGTTTCTCATCATCTACATCGCATTTCTATTAATGTTGTTAATTTTCAATGTTTGCTAAGAGATTTTCTGTGTTGTTTGGGTCAAGCGAATTAGTGAAATTGGCTTTGTTTTATAAATTAGTTCATATCACAACACACAGTTGATTTGACCGGCATTTTGTTTTTATATAGACTTCTATATTGTTATATTATCATTGCTGTTCTTATAGTTATATCGTATGTGTAGATAATGATAGCATTACAATTATTGTATCTTTTATATATAATTTTACGAATGAACTGTTTTTTGTTGTATCTAAGCTATAAATTCTAACAAACTTAATTAAAGTAGGAAAATTAATTATTACATGTAGTTGTGGCGCTTTCGTACTCCTTCCCCTTCTAATCTTTCTTACTAAACCTGCCTCAAAGGCGAAAACACATAGGACTAAGTAGAATCGGAGACTTCTTCGCACTTTGTTTGTACATCCAACCTAAAGAAACACAAAATAATAAACGTAAAGGGCTCGTGTACGTGGAAATATCAGTAGGGAATGGCTTAACTTTTACAATTTTCTTTATACATTTAATACTTTTCTTCTTAATGAGGACTACACGCGAACTAATTAATTTTCATGTTGCATATATCATTCTGTACCGCTATTATATTCGTAGTGGCTGCTTTGTTATATCATCAGTCTTGAAGACCAAACCAGAATTCTGTAACACATTTACTCAAAGCAAGTGAAACTGGAGAAACCAGGGGACGCCTGCCCTCCGTGTATTCAGATTGCACAAATTGGATCAAAACGAGAGTTGAGCTAAAGTGTACTTTACATTATTACTGGCTTATCTTACACTTGTTAGCGTCTTTCACAGAAAAGACGCAACACGTTTACACATACACAGTAACTGGAACCAAAAGACTTAGATCTTAGAGCGAGTCCCCGACTGCGACACTCGACTCTGTACTATTCTACCTTTTACTTCTGGGGTTTCTGCCGTATCGACTTTCGTTTCTATGTTTACTTGCTGGCGGAGATCTGCTGGCGGGCCCGCAGACGTGTCATGGGCGGCGAGGGGCGGCGCTCTAGCGGCGCGGCTTCAGATGATCCACGACTGCGTTTGGCAGCAGCTCCTTTTACAGTAGCCGCCTTGCGATTGAGTGTGTTTTTAACTGCAGTTGCGCCATCAGTTGAAGAGGTGGATGTGGTTATGGGTGGAGAGCCGCCACGACTGCGTTTGGCTTGACCACTTCCAGAATTCGCTTTGCGTTTGGTTGGAGCTTTTTTGACCACAGCGGGAGTGCTCATTGAAGCGATGGATTCACCACGGCTGCGTTTAACTTCTCCACTGGCTGCCGCCACCGTTGCCTTCCGTTTGGCCGGCGCCTTGGCTTCAGTTCCTCCATCTGCTGGAGAGGTGGTTTTTACTTGTGGCGCCTTGCATCGTTTTTTGGCCGAGAACTTGGGTGCGCGACGACGACGCTTTGGCTTTGGGTTGGTAATGGCAGGTGCCGAGCCTGAGGTGTGTGTGTTGTGGGAGCGAGATCTGCTCCTGCTGGTGGTGGCGGTGGTGGTGTTGCTGCTGCTGGGGTTTGTGGCGATGATGGCGGTGCTGGTGGTTTCTACATAGGGCATCGGAACGAACGCCGAGACCTCATTTGTTGGCAATGTCAAGTTGCTAAAAACAATAAAAAAAAACGTTGCCTTGGGTGTCTTTTAAGGAATTGTATAGACATATCCACTCACCTGAGCTTTGGTTTGTGGACTAAGTCATCGTCGTCGTCCTCCTCGTCATCCTCGCTGTCTGGGTTCGCAGCGGAAACGAATTTGGGTCTCTTCAGTTCGAAACTGCGAAATTTATTGCTGTTGAATACAAAAGAGTTAAGACATAACCAATAATGTTTAAATTATATTTGTTCCTTTAACATTAAATACATATAAAGCTATAGAACCAAGTTACTTTCCCAAAGAAAGTGTAACACTTCTAGCACATTATAAATACTCACATTTTAATTGGCGTTATGGGCATGGGTCGGATGGGCTTGAAGAGGCACAGGTCCATGAGCAGGCTGTCGGTGCTGGGATTCCGCTTCCGGGCAGCCGCCGATCGGTGCAGTGCCGTGGGAGCCACCGTGTAGGTGCGCAGGAAGGCGGCGGTGGGCACGTTGGGCTGCACTTGCACCTGGGAGTGGTGTGTCGCAGGGGCCAGTACGTAGTGGGAGCGGCTAGTGCTGGCGGAGATCGAAGTGACGCTGCTGATACCGCTGCAGCCCATCAGGCCCCCGGCGCCGCTTAGTTTGCGTTTCAGACCCTGCTGGTCCAGGAGCTTTGCAGAGGCGAGGGGAGCAACAGAAGCAGCGGGAACGGAGGCCACTGGCGTGGGTGCCGACATCACCAGGGCCTTCTGAACAGTGTCCTTGATGAACTCGGTGCCGCGATGCAGGCGTACAGACAGCGTCTTCATCAGCGCACTGGCGGCACTGGGACGAGAGGCGACCGACGACGTTGTGGGCGTGCCTCCTCCGCCGGAACCAACGCTTCCAGATCCAGCGCCGCTGTTCAGTTTTCCGGCATCGTAGGCCGGCAGACCGGCTGCGGCCAGCAGCATTACGGGATCGGGATCGGGTGGTGGAGGAATTTCGACTTCGACTCAGCTCAGCCAGGTAGATTCAATGCCTCCGCCGCTGCGAGAAGCTGCCCGTCCGTTCGTCACATCTACGCACTCATTTTCCGGAATTTCCAAGCAGAATTCCCATTTAAACAAAAACTAGATTTCTTTTCCTTTTGTTTTCGTGGTCGCCTCCCACGCTCGTTCGTACTACTACTACACGAACTCGCCCACAACTACAACCACAACTACACAAACACAGACACTAGACTGCCATTGTGCGCCGGTGGAAAGGACGAGTGGTTTATTTGGTCCTTGAGGCTGCTCTCCGAGATCTCCTGGTCTTTTTCCTGCTGCTCCGCGGTGGCTCACTCGATCGGCTGCCTTTCGTTTCCTTTTCGCGATTTCTTTTGCCGTGTTTTACGATTTTACTCCACCGCATTCGTTCATTCATCAGCAGCTGTGGCCAATCGACCTATCGACCTATCGATGTGCTATCGTTATCGATAGCTCGGAGATTCTGTCCCACCACTAACAAACACTAGGCTCGCTTTTTCGCCGCCAGGGGCGCTATTCGCCAAACAGGCGCCACCTGGCGGGACATCATGACGGCGAAAGGGCTGCCAGACTCATTAATTAATTAAGTGGTTTCCGTTGAACATTTAAAACTTAAAAAATGTATATATTTTTAATCTGGGTTTAAAAAATATTAATGCTACATAGGTACATTTCACTTGGAAACCCGGCATGTGTGTGTCTGAAAAATCTGGAAAGAAGAAGGAAAAGGAGAAGAGTGGAGAAGGAGAGGAGAGGAGAGAGAGAGGAGAAGAAGAAGAGAAGAATTTTTAAATTTCTTGGCCGATTGTTATCGGATTCCACATAATTTTTTTTAGCACTAGAGCTGGGAAGTTATCGATAGTACTATCAAATGTTGCCGCTAAACCAAATGTTTCCCGAAATAAAACAATTTTCTTTTGATTTTAAAATCATAGTAAAATAAGCTGGTTTTTTTAATAATTATTTATTTATAGGGCAGTCAAAAGTTTGTTAAGCAGCGAAATGTCCGAAAGAAATTTTTTTTTTAATTTTTTCCAAAATTTTATAAGGGGTTGTTACATCATTAAAATTCTCAAAAATTGTAAAAAATTTGAATTTCCTAAAATTTAAAATTTAGTATGCAGATTTTTTAACCTAGGAAAAACTAGTTCAGAACAGCTTTCCGATTCGAAATTAATGCATTTTTGGCCGAGTTACGCATATTTTTTCCATTTCGATTTTCCCAAAAATAATCCATAAATTATAAACTTTCATTTTTGTCAAAATTATAAAAAATTGAAGATTAATAACTAAATTATATTTGGTATGCAGATTAATAAACCTATAAAAAACCAACCCAGAACCGTTTTCCGTTTTCATTTTTGGCTGAGTTATGATTTTTTTCAATTTAGTTTGTCTCTAAAAAATTCAAATATTTTGGGTCTTCTTGAAGGGTTTTATGATTTTATTTAGTGGAGGAGTCACTTCCGACCCCATAAACCATATATATTCTTGATCCGCATAAACAGGGGAATCTTTCTAGCAATGTCCGAAAGAAATTTTTTTTTTAATTTTTTCCAAAATTTTATAAGGGGTTACATCATTAAAATTCTCAAAAATCATCAAAAAATTTGATTTTTTTTTAATTTTAAATTTAATATGCAGATTTGTAAACATAGAAAAAAACTAGCACAGAATCGCTTTCCAAATTGAATTTGAAGCTTTTTTGGCTGAGTTATGATTGATTTTTGATGGAATGATGATCCTATGGCAAACTGCAAGTGTAGTTTCCTTTCTTGTTTTTGTTTATATATTCTATATACTTTTTCTCTTAAGAAATGTATCTAACCACATCCCCAATTCAGAGTAAGTTTTCATAATTAGAAGAAAGAAAAGCATACAGCTTGTGACGCGCAGACGCGCACAAATATATACGTAAGATATAAAATAAGGATGATAATAATAATACAATAGAAAACTATGAATATGGAATATGGAATAGATTATCTGGCCACACTCTTAATGGCAAATTTCTCCGGGCGCGTCGGTCACACTCGGCCGCACCGGAGCGCTATATAAGGCGAGCTCCAGCCCTTGGGAAGCATTCAGTTTTCGGCCGGCGATCGGCCAAGTCCTTTGACAGGAGCCAAGGGTCGGCATCTCTTTCAGCAACCACCTCAGACGACAAATAAATTTTTAAGACGAACCCTGGCCATCCTTGAGCCACCGGAATGACCAAATGTCTATAAGGTCTGGAAATAAGAAGAAATAGTTAGTAGATCATAGATAAAAATAATATAAACTTACCTTCTGGTCCTAATTTTATTCTTTTTGCCGGCGGAATATTCTCTTGATCTTCTATTATTTTTCTCTTAAGCTGAGATGGCGCCATATCCGCTGCTCCTGCAATAAAAAAATAAAAAAAATAAACATAAATACATATCGTAATAAATATAAAGTAATATACTTACCGATTGCGGCGTTGTTCAATTTATTTAATTCCAGCACATTCCATTGGCCTTTTAATTTGTGCGAAAAGGTAAGGTGTCTTTTAAGTTTTGTGGCGTCCAGCGCCATAAATTTACAATTTGAACATTTAAATTCTGGCGTTCCACATTAAGCAAACTTAATCCGTTTCGCCACAACATTTATTTGAAAAGTGTGCATTTTTTCACCTAATTAACCGTACCCCCCCTTAATGTAATGGAAACTTTGAATTTTTATATTGTAATTTTATTCTTAATATTAAATGGCTTATTCTAATAACACATTAAGAAAAAAAACAAATTTAAAAAATGTCAATAAGATCTGCAAATAAAAAGAAAAAAGAGTTAGTAAATTATATTTAATTAAATATTAATATAAACTTACCATCTGCATCCAGCTCAATGTCACTATCCATCAAAAAGGCTTTAGCTGAAATATATAAATATGTACGTATAAATATCTATATATAGCGTGATAAATAAAAATATAAACTTACCTTTCGGTCCCAACAGACGCCGTTTGGCCGGAACCGGCGGGTTGTTCTCCTTATCGTCCGCTCCTGCAATATATATTATATGTTAATATAAATCTTAATAAATAGAAATATATACTTACGGTTTGGCCCTAACACGCATCTTTTCCGCGAAGCGGGGTTTATCTGATCATTAGCGCTCGCTGAAATATATAAATATGTATAAATTAAAAATAATAGAAAATATAAATGAAAATAAAGAAACTTACGTTGTGGACCAACCAAAATAGGCCTATTTTCCTTATCGGCTTTTTCTGAAATATATAAAGATGTGTTAATATAAATCGTAATAAATATAAGCTAACTTACCTTTCGCACCATTCATCATATTGATTTGCAGGACTCTTTTTAGGTTCCATGCGCCAAAGATGTGGTGGTCCCGTCCCATATGTCTTTTTAGCTGGGCGGAGTCCACGCCCATATACCGGCACTTGCAGCATTTAAACTCCGGACTGCCGCACGTGTGGTTTAAAAATAGTGCGACAGTCGGGGATCACTGCCAGCACACGGTGCATCTCCGCCGACATTTCTGCCTCTCCTGAAAATATTTTATTCATTACCAATTAATTAAAAGCAAATAAAGAATAAAACATACCGGGTGCTCCTCGACCCCAGCTTCGATGCTGCTGGGTCCGGCGCTGTCGGCAAAGGCGTCCGTAGCAATTACCGATGCTGACCGCTCCGTGAACGAAGTCCCGGCAGCATCGCCGGTGCTGGAAGGGACGGCAAAGTCGTCCCAAGCAGCATCGCCGTCATCCGGATCCACACCTGAGTCAACGGACTCGTTCAGTTTGGGTTTGGGTTTCCGCTGTTTCTCAGGATTTTTGCGCCCTACATTGTTATTTTGTTTGCCTCTTAGATATCCAAAAACATTCTTAACAGCCTCCTCGGAGGCGTTTTCTTATATATAAATGTTCATTACGTCCGTTGCAAATGAAAAGAAGAAGAGGAGTAAAGGAGACATGTTTATTCATGTTGGCCCATTAGGTACGGAAAAACTTCGATGTCACCGTCGACACGAACCAGTCTTCAAACCGATAACTCGATCGATATGAAGGGGATTCCCGCCTTTTTTTCATACTTTTTCAACAATGGCAACTTTAACTTCGATGATTGATTTCGAGTCGGTTTTTCGCCAAATTCCCTATTTACAAGGGACGGATTTGGACTCAGTCCTGGCCAAATTCCATCAGCATTTCAAGGGCGACATAGAAAAGTCCCGGGCCAACCTCCTGCGATCGCTGGGGGGCTGGAAAAAGCCTTTTTATCTGGTCTTCGATTCCCTGTCCATGCCCTCTGTAAGTTTTTAGGGATCGAGGGGGGAAGGGGCGACGCACAGTAGCGCCGTTTCTCATTTTACGTTGTAAAAATCATAACTTTTGAACAAAGCATAATAACTAAATAATTCCAACGCCATTTGACAGTTAATTGTTGTAAAATTTGGTTATATATTGGAAAATATGCCACGCCCACTCATTCGCCTTTTTATAGGGTATTAAAGTGAGCAAATATTTCATTTCAATGAAGACAGTTTCCTAAATATATATTTTATTTAATTTTTCATCTTTATTTTTATGTATTTTGGTATATTTTACCCTGAGTTATTGTTACATACATTTTATACATTTAATTAATATTCCTGTATAATTTGGCTTATTTTTAGATTCCCAATCACGGAATGCGGTATAAAAGCTACTACACCTTCGCCCTCCAATGGACCGATGGCTTGTGCTTCCAGGTCGCTTTTTTGGAGGTAAGACTCCATTTTAACTCACTCAATGTTTTGGCAATCATAGAAAATATTCTTAGTGTTTTGAGTGAGTGCAATTTAATTCATTTACTGTTGGCTATTGTCTGTGATAGCGGCAGTATAAATTCAAATGTTGTTCACAACTCTTTAAATATCCCCGTACTGTGGGACCACAGACACTGCCAGTTCGCTTTAAGTGTACATGATAATAATCATTTCATTTTAAGCAATTTATATAACCAACCTTACTTTCAAAGTAACGTTGATGTTCAAATAAACACTCTCTTAAGGCAGAATGAAGAGTACAACAACCCAGTTGTACGACCTCAGGTTTTAAACCAAATTAACTTGATCCATAGGGTAGTGTTAAAATATTTTAACCTTGACCCTAATGCTCAATATTTTCAGGCATCGTTTTGCAATAACGATAGCCTCGAAGAAATGGGGCCAAGGTGGAAAAGGGGGTTACAGGACGCCCTCGAAGCTTTGCATGTGTCCGGCGATCAGCTGGTGGAGCAGGCCGAGGAATTCTATCCTAAAATTTTATGTCTTTTATCGCTCAAAGAAGCTAAACGCTTCACCTAATATTAGTTTATTTGCCTTCCTAATATTCTTAATAATTTAGTCCAATTATTTAATATATTATTATTATATTACAATTATAT